GGTGGGGCTGAGAGGAGTCGATGGCATGGGAGTCTCGGTTCGTGATGCAAGAGAGGAAGACGACCCACCAATATGAGACTGCCCAAGCTTGTTGCGTATGGATTTAGGTGCGCCACGACCAATTGGTTGCTTGATGAATTTGCTTTCGATTGTCGCTGATGTTGGTAGGTCATCAAAGATCTCGAGCTCGGTACCATCACCAAAATTTCGTCTTCGAGTTGGCTTTGTGATCGGCTTCTTCGCAGCGAGCGTCAGTTCCAGGGGAGCCACGTTTCGTGCACGGCCAGGAGTTTCAGGGCGGTGTGTGAGGCGAGAGAACGGTCTTGATGGTATCGCACCGCTCTCGTGGGACTCAGCTGAGTCATGCCGGCGAATGTTGCGTGTAGTGGTTGTCTTCATGCTGCCATGTTGCGACTGGGAATTAGATACACCAGCAGGGAGAAAGGCCGGTTTTCTGGCATCTCCAAGGCGCGACTCAGAGCGGTCAGTTGGTGTCTTCGGTCGCGGTGGGAAATTGAGTCGAGATGTGATGCCTCCCATTTCGTTACGTGATGGGGGTCGGGGATATGGATGTTGCTTAGTTGGCGATTGCATACCTCGCATCACTGGCATCGAACGCTTTGATCGAAGGAGTTGTGCATTGGTAGTCGTGACAGATTCGGTTCGAAGAATATCCCCAGAATCCCGATGGCGAAGGCCTCGTCGGCTAGGGGTGGACGGCGCTGAAGGCAGGGACGGAGCAGGAATGCTAGATACCAATGATTGTGCTATGTGACCACTGAGACGAGACTCTGGTCTTCTGAACCGCGCAGCAGTAGGACCACTTTCCGAAACAGGTTCGAGTGTCGATCGAGGCCTTTCACGACCTCCATGAGGCCGTGGAATTCGAGTCGAGTTCGCTTGAGATTTGTTGTTGGTGAATGTGAGGGTCGTGGCAGGACGTTTTGGTGGGCTGGTGGTCCGCTGAGTTTGGTGCTTGACGTTACGGTTGAGCGTCAATTTGCCTGAATCGAAGACATCCCCATCTCCAATTTCAAAGTCGGCAAAGAAGTCATCCTTAGCTACAGCTCTCTTCCCTGCGTGCTGCTCGTCACAATAGTGGGATGCATCTGGTGAATGATTTTGCTGCCGCTTCTTGAGCACTTCATCGAATTTGAGAGGCCCAGACGGTAACACCAAGCAATCCAGACCGTCATCCTCACTTTCGGCTGTCAGACAGCTTGAAACGCTAGGGCTAAGCGCAGAGACGGATGAGTTTGGATCGGACCGGAGATCGCGTCTTGTGCCGCCATGGCGCGTACCCAGACTTCCTTCAGCCCACTCCATATCGATCTCTTCATCCTGCTGTGGAGTCCGTGGCGGCTCTTTGCGTGGAGCAAGTTTCAGTTCACCCTCGGTGGGAATCTCTAGGCCCTCTTCAATGTTCTCATTGTCTTTCTTGGTGGTCTTGGTTTGAGGCTGGGTGATCTGTACCAGTTTGTTTGGGCCTCTGGACTTCGCGACCTTGATTGTAGGCACATCGCCAAAATCGTCGTCATCGTCATTGTCTCGAAACTGCTCGAGGCTGACTGGAGCCGCTATCGCTTTGGTTGATGTAGCGTTCTGAGCCATTGATTTGAACGGGCTTCCGACCGGGCTTTTACGGAAAGCTGCACTGATTTGTCGAAGAGTATCAGGGTATTCTTTCCCTTCGGTTTTGGTGAGTTTGAGCTCACTACCAAACCCAGGTAACTCTAAATCCTCAGACCAATCGTCACCCAGAGCTCTCTTGATTTTCTTGCCACCCAGTCTTCGAATGGTGCCACCTTGTAGCGCTGATTTGGGTACGTCGGAAGGTATTGGGATGCCCTTGCTTTTGGCTACAGCGATTGCATCTTTTGCGGAAGCTTGGTCGTCATCTGGAAGCAGAACCTGCCAATCTTCGTCACCGTTGTTGGAGTCGAGGTCGGATCTCATAGACATTCGAGATGACATTGAGTCTCTGTGATGAGGCGCAGCAGAAAAGCTAGTCGATGAAGTTGCAGTTGAGGCTGTTCTGATTTGTAGGTCATCGACACCGTCGAAGTCCGCATCGTCATCCCAGCGCTCGATCTCATCATTCACAGGCTGACGTGGTTTGAGCGTCAACGGCTCCATTGTGAATGATGCCTCCAATATTGCACGTGAAGTTTGCAGAAGGTACCTTTGATACAGGTGATTTGAGGCTGTTGGCTGCCGTGTTACACCGTCAAGTCATGATGATCCGTAGACACAGGTGACAGAAAGCTGAAATATGAGGTCGAGCGAGTCTGTGACCAACCTTTCCGAAAAGTGAGGTGTTTTCGAAACTGAGGTGTTCTTGAGCAACCTCCTTGCCCTCGGTAGAGAGCCGGAGTAGCCGCGCAATGGGCCCTTCAGCAGAGGACAGGATACTCCGTATATGCGTATATGTTGGTGATTGACCAGGCTGAAGGTAAGCAAAGCCCTGGTTAGACAATATTCGATCACGGATCAAATCGAGGGGCTGGGTTTGACGGACGTCGGATCGTGAATGGTGTGGTCGGAAAGCACTCATTAGCGCCTTCCTCCTTAGGCTGTTCCCCAGCCGCACACGCGACTTGCCAAGACCGGAGCACGCGTTTATCCCACTAACCAAATCGGTGGAGCGCTGGGTGAGATATTCTGCGGTGCTGCCTGTCTGGAAAACGCTGGCTTGCACTCGAGATCGTTGAATGTGACTTTACTATGGACTCGTCGTCACCGATATTCTTGCGCACTTCTCCGGTTGGACGCTTTCACAGCCATGAAATCAGGCTGTACAAAGATCTAGTCCCCAGTTGAAGTGCTCCTCTCTTGTAACGCGACTCAAATGAAGGAGCCCCCCTTACAACAGTGTGATCATCTTGCACCATGTCCAAGTCGTGGGTATTGAAGTTCCCGCGCTCTGATGGAGATGGGTATCTCCTCCTTCAAGCCTCCACGACCAGCGAGGCTGCTCTGGACCTCAATCTACTAGCCACAGAAGGAGCAGCACCGTACAGGGGCAAGAGTATGCTGACCCCTGTGTATGCTGGAAGTGCACATACTGAATGAGTTCTAGTTCGTCAACGAAAGATCCCAGACTTGCGCGCGAAGAACTTCCATGGCACAGACGGCGAATGGCAGAACATCCTCCTTCATGTCTTTAAACCCCAATCCGCGGCGTGTCTGCCTAGCGACCAATGGAAAGGTCTAGAAGTCGTGGCAACTATTGGCAGCGGGAAAGTTACGATCACTTTACGAAACCGTATCGACAAAATCACACAACGACTAGGCTCAGTAGATCTTTCTCAGGATGACGATGCCGAAATCCAGCTCTTCGATTGGTGTGGTTCAGCAATCGACCAGAGATCCGTGCTGGAGGCTGAGCAAAGCGATCTACGCAGCAAATACGAGTCCGCCCAGGCGACCGTCACCTCACTTGAAGCTAAATTAGAGGAGCTCGTCAAGGCAAAGGCAGACCATGAAGAAGAGCTGATCTCCAAATTCGTGCTCCTTCTGAACGAGAAAAAACTAAAGATCAGAAATCAGCAACGAATCCTCAGCACTGCGAAGGTAGACAAGAAGAAACTACAACAGATGCAGAAGACGCTGGAAGGGAAGGGTCGGCGGGCCGAGTCGAGCAGAGCTGGTAAGCGACGGGCAGACGACCAGACTGAGGCAGCAGAAGAAGACTCGCAGAATGATTCCAGTGACGCCTTTGAGGAGATGGACGTGGACAAGCAAGAAGGTATCGTAGCAGGAAGCCAAGAAGCAAGCTCAGAACGACAGACAACGCCTGAGACGGGATCGGAAACAGAAGTCGATTCTGACGTTGATGCGGCTCCTGAACCAACATCAAAGACCGCCGGCCCCGTGCCAAAAGCAAGCACCTCACATCGAGCCGCAGCGTCGCAGCAGAAGAAGGCCAGCAGTCCTCCACTAAAGTCGGGTAAGAAGCGGCAAACTCCTACCAGGAATATATCTCCTCTTCCACCTGTCAGGGTCCTACCATTCGCGAAGAAAGGCGCCAAAGTAAAGAAGGCTGCGGAGCCGGAGCCATCCAAACCGCCAACTGAAGCAGGAAAACGGGATGATGGAAAGGCGAATGACAGTGGTGAAGAGACGGCCAGTGACAGTGACGATGACGAGTTATGATCGGAATGTCAGCATGATTATGAATTTATGGAATACGATTACATAATGGACTATGAGATACGATTGGGTAGCACTCTTTGCATTCTCAGGAGCCTCTATCATGGCGACAGGAAAGGATTATACCCCCTTTTCCCCACCAGCCCTAGCCTTGGGCTTGTTTCTGTATTCATGGTGATCGACAACTTACTCCGAAAAAAAGCAAACCCTACTCACCCCAGATGGTCCTATTCCGCACAGTCCATCGACTAGCTCACCGTTCTCCGGCTCAGACATACCCATCCATCATATCCCAGACGGTGTCGTGGCTGTCCCCCGTCTCGACTCTGCTGCCAGCCTTGCTCTTTCTTGGCCTATTCCGGAGGAAAAAGAAAGACTAGGAACAAGCTTGCAGACTTCGCGCGCATCCCACAATGGGAGAGTGTAATGAATTGAGCAGTCTTGGAGGCAGTGTGAAAGACGGGTGATGGTCTAGAGGGCAATGGTGAGAAAATTGCGATAGTGCTGTAGTACGGACGATTTTCAGGAAAGGGTTATCAAGGATTCCCACCTGGAAGGCATACTTTGGTTTTCTACGGGGTATTTTCGTCACTATGGCAGTGGTCTACCTCGATTGTAATACTGGGCTAGGCATTTTGTTTTTGTATATGACAATGATCCCTGAAGCCGAACCGGGTATGCAGATTCTGTGGTCAGAATCAAAGGCTCACGAGCTTCACATGTTCACCGATCGCAATGCTTTGATGATTCTGCACCGCCATGTGAGAGGCACTAAATTGCTTCACACATCTCTAGCCCTAATCGAATGAGTTTACGGACCATGATTTTATTTAGAGGGAATTTATATTGTGTAAAAGGTCTGGTAAAGATGTTTCCCAAAGAGTGGCTCAGGCCTTGGCGGGTGAATATACTACGTAGGTAAATGTTCACAGACCCCAGGCCCTGTTTCTGAAGACTTGTGAACGGTTCTTGTACACATTGATTGGCTCGTATTCCTGTATCTGCATGCAGGTATCTTGCTTTCACCTCCAGTGCGACAGAGTTATGCAGTATCTTAAGCCATAGTCGTCTCCATAATGAGAACAATGACAACTCGTACTATTATCCACTTCTCGTACCCTTGGCAATGCATCCATCCTTAGGCCCGCCCCATTCAAGAAACTCATAGTATCTCACGTCTGATACTGACTCTCCTATCTGTCTTCTTCCTCCTCTGATACATATATCATCCCATCCCATCCCATCCCATCCCAGTCCCCTCCTTCACTCAACCCTAACGTCCTGGCTAGTATCCAACTCCTCAAACCGCCTCAGGTCCATCGGCTTCTCCAGCAACGGCAGTACATACGGATCGAACGTCTTCCAGTAGGGATTATTCAGATGGAACTGCTGGCTCTACACACATCGTATCAGCATGAATCCCCAATAAGCAATACATCTTATCCCCCTCATCCTTCCCTAAACCCCTCACGACATCCCCCATCCCTCCACTCACACAATCCTCCACAATGCATGACTCAGGCAGAAGAAGAACAAGAAGCATGGCGATAGCATACAGATTCCCGTTCATACCTCTCCACAATCGTGAACTCCCGCTTATCAAACACACTCTGCATCACGAACCACGACAAGGTCTCTTTGTCCTGTGAATAGACGCGAGAAGCCTCGATGAGCTTGCTTTTCAGTTTTTCGATGCACTCGGGGTCAGATTTCGCGGTCAGGTGGACCGTTATTGTGTAGACCATCTTTAAAGGCTGAAAGAGGATGCTAGGGATTTTAGGGGGCACAAGGCTTCGTAGGCGAAGCGGAACGATCAGACGGTGATGATGATGGCGGTGAGGCGGGATGAAGAGGAGATGGACGATCTACACGTCTTGCCAAGAGGGTGTGTAGGACTGGGTGGGGAACGAGGGTTAGTGCAGCTTCGAGTCAACGTGCGGTTGAAGGGACGACACGAGGAGAAAAAAAGAAAAAAGGGAAGAAGACTGGAGAAGCTAAAGGGCAAGGGCGAGGAAATCTTCCTGTTGGCACTTATTACTCGTAATTGCTGGTTGAAAGTCGCGACCTTTTGCCTCGTTATTGTCATGTAGGAAACTCAGAACTACCCCTCCATCATGTTCATAGGCGCCTTTCTGCGGGGTAAGCTGTTTTCCAGAGAGGGGATGGTCCGTGAAAAGCGTTGGCAGGAGATCTTCTTTGGCTCAGATGTACATACCCTGGGGTCGATAGAAGGATGCAGAGAGCTGATAGAGATATGAAGTATAGGGTGGCAATGACGTCTCCATTGACCCAGCGTCTTTTATGTACAAGGACTTGATATTCTTGCCCTGCGTCCGCAGAACCGCAGCTTAACACCATTCTCCTGTAACCTCCAATGCGGATTTCGGACGTGGAAAAGACACCGCAATGACATGTCAACCGTAAGAGACTTGTGGTAGTGGACCATACTCATTCTGCGGATTTGGTTCGCCTTGAGCCATAAAGTTCGTCTCCGGGTTGCCTGTTGCTTTGGCCGCCGAACATCGTGCCATTGTAGGTGAACTAAGATGACAACAGTTAGTGACAGTTCAAGCAAGGCGAACAAGAAGGAATAGGTACCTTCTTGAGATAACATCTGTGAAGAAGAAGTTTTCGATCGGCTTCTTCAAGGGCTTTCCCGTGGCTTTTGCACCCTTATTTTGATCTACCAGCTGCACCTTGCTCAAGGAGCCCAATGAGCTTGGCTCAACCACATCGTAGCATCTCAGCACTGGGCTGATCTGCTCCATGCGATCTCTCAGCCCCTCGATATCGTCATATGGAAGTGGTTGACCAAAGTATTCGCTCACAGCACGGATGATCTTCCAATCATCTCTTGCCGCTCCAGCCAATGACACAGCAGCTCTCGTGATCTGACACCTACCTTCGGTGTTGAGATAGGTACCGGACTTTTCAGTATAGGTAGCACCTGGAAGCACCACATCTGCAATCTGAGCACCAGCATCACCATGATGACCCTGGTACACTACAAACGCATCTTTCGGAATGTCAGCCTCATTGAAATTATCAGCACCAAGCAGCCAAATCATCTTTGGCTTGACTTTTGCAACTTCCGGTGAAGGTGTAGTGAAGCCAACTTCATAAGCACCAGCTCTTGATGCATCCCTTTGGAGTACATTGTACCCTTTCCATTCAGGCGTAATAAACCTTGCAGCATTCCTGTCAACAAATGCTCCAATTGATTCATAGATTGCCTTTGCGTCTGGATGCTCTGTCACAGCGCTACCCACGATGATCATGGGCTTCTTGGCTGATGACAGTTTCTTGCCAAAGGGGCCGGATAGGACTGCTTTGACGGCTGCCGCATCAGCACCAAGATGCTCGAAGCCAAAAGTGCTCTCGAAAGTTTCGCCCACCAAACCGATTTCCAGATCAGATCGTAGCCATTGTTTGCGTATTCTTGCATTCAGAACTGCGGCCTCATGTCGCGGGTTGGTGCCAACAAGAAGCATCGCATCTGCTTCTTCCACGCCATATATCTTGGAATTGAACAAGTAATTCGACCTCACATCCACGCCATGCGCAATCGGCTCACTTCCACCAGGTTGGTCAAGCGCAAGATTTTCTGAGCCAAGTCTGTTAGCAAGATCCTTCATCGCCACCAACGACTCTATTTCGATAAGCTGTCCCGCCATCACTTTGAACTCGTTTTCTTTCACATCAAGCTGCTGAAATGTTCTTCCAATCTCGGTAAGGGCCTGCTCCCACGAAGCAGGAGCGAAGTTGTCATCTCTTCTTATTAAGGGAGTTGTGAGCCGTTGTGTCTTAAGTCCATCGCAGGCAAAACGTGATTTGTCATTGATCCATTCCTCGTTTACGTCGTCATTTAGTCGTGGTAGAATCCGCATCACTTCCATGCCTCTAGCGTCTACCCTGATATTCGAGCCCAGCCCATCTAGCACATCAATCGTCTCGGTGTGGCGCAATTCCCATGGTCGGGCTCGAAACGCATAGGGCTTTGATGTGAGTGCACCGACTGGGCAGAGGTCAATGACATTGCCTGACAGTTCAGTGTCAAGAGCAGTTTCGAGGTAAGTGCCAATCTGCATATCGTTCCCTCGTCCTGTAGAGCCCAGCTCTGGAGCACCTGCGACATCGTTCGCGAATCGTATACACCGACTACAATGAATGCATCGATTCATAGATGTCTTGACCAACGGTCCAATATTCTTGTCCTCAACACCTCGTTTACCAGTAATCTCATGGAAGCGACCTCGATCTGCACCGTATCTCATAGACTGATCTTGTAAATCGCATTCGCCACCTTGATCACAGATGGGGCAGTCAAGAGGATGATTTGCAAGCAAGAATTCCATCACACCTTCTCTTGCTTTATGAGTGAGGGGAGAATTGGTCTTCACGACCATTCCTGGCTGTACAGGCCATGCGCAGGAGGCAACAGGTTTGGGAGCTCTCTCAACTTCGACCAAGCACATTCGACAGTTTCCAGCAATCATCAGCTTTCTGTGATTAGGTTAGTAGACGCACCCGCTATGGACTCTGCTTGTCAACTCACTCATGGTAACAGTATCTCGGAATCGTAACTCCAGCCTTTTCACAAGCTTGAATCAATGCTGAGCCAGCCTCTATCGAAACCTTCTTGCCATCGACTGTGAGCTCGACCTCGGCCGGCCGCCGCACCGTCGAACTGAAGCTTCGGAAGACATCGACGCCGGCGGGTCGTCTCACTCGAATGGATGCACGAAGAAGCTGGGAGCGCATAATAAGGGTCTACCAGCTTCAGCAGCAATATCCGGCGAGCTTGTTTATGGCGAACGGGGTGGCGGTGGAGCTCTCGAAATCGACCAAATACTGACGTTCCCTACTGCATATGGTGGCAAAGAGACAATGCTGGAGATGGGATTGGTTCGGCTGGTTCGGCAAGTTCCGGCTCCAGCTCCACTTCCCTTGTAGATTTTCACTCCGGGCAGCAAAACTTTCCTTTCTCCTCTACATACTCATTCGGACATGTTTTATTGTAGGAGAGAGAGACGCTTTCGAGCCCATCTTTCTTTCCTCTGCTACGTGATCCAAGATCGACTTTCTTGCACCGTAGCTGGAGCACGCTACGACTGTCCTCTAGGAGAGCTTCAATGATGCTCGTGTTCCTTACCGACGGATGCTACATAAAATTTCAACGTTTCTGAGCCTTCAGATTTCGTGGGACTCATTGGTTATTTTTTTCAGCTACTGAAAAGCGGTAGGTCTCTTGAGCTAGGATTCCTCCTTGGTGATTCATGTGATAAACGACTCTCCCTTACCAAGGATTTCATAGTATCACTCGCCCGCAATGCGAGGAAATGAATATCTGTACACTCGTAATCGGACTATGCAATCTATTTTTCACCATGTTTACCAGTATTCCCAGTATCTGCTGGATCCCAAGTAGACTCCTGTTTCGTTCCTGGAGGTAGCCAACTACTCTGGAAACTATTCCTTGGTGCAGCAGTGCCTACTGCATCACCTTCTTTCTTAAACAACGAGCCTGGGAATTCATAAACTCGCTCATTCGATTCTGTTCTAGGACGTGGTAATGAGCCGTTTGCAGACTTCGTTTCGGGCTCTTCAGTAAGAGGTAGCAGCGCTGCTTTGTTCCGAAAGTGATCCGCTTTTGCTCGTCGCTCTGCTGCGTCGTCCATGCTATTTCGATCGTACAAATAGAGCCCAAAGAAGGTAAGAGCCACTCCGAAAGCCTGAATTGGTGTGGTCGGATTACGAAACCAGATGATTGCCACTACAATCACCCATACACGTTTGATCAACGAAGCCACCGAGTAGGAGACTGGTGAGAGCAGAGAGAGCAGAACAAAGGCCATAATGTTCTGCCCAAAGTGGAAGATGCCATTGAACACAAACTCCACAAATAAAGCTCCGTGCTCCAACGAACCCTTCTTGCCTGACAGGTCGATAGTGCCATCACGCCATATGTCGGTGATGATTGTGAAGCCTTCTGATAAAAGCCAGACTGGCGCAGTCAGAAGGAAAGCCCCAACTGAGCAGTAGCAAAGCAGATTAAGCTTGTCTAATTTTTTGCTGTGCTGTGAATTGCCTTCTGCGTCCGCTCTTGATGCTTCATTGAATAGCTTCTTGGAGAAAATGTTCTGAGTGACAAAGACTAAAGCTGCCACAAAAGCGCAGCTGATTCCAACAAGATTGCTTGAGAAATCAGTCGAGCATGCTAGCATCACCCCAACAGTCAACGGCACTAGGGACAGATATGTCGCACGAGCATATCGGATTCGAAAGAAGAGTCGATATGCCAGCACAGTAAAGAGTGGCGAAAGTCCTTTGATGGTATGTACCAAGGACACTGGTATCTTAGAAGTCGCTGTGGAGCTCAGGAGATGACCCAGAAGCTGAAAGACTGCTAATGGCATGGTGGTAGAGATGACCTCCCTGGATGGGTATCTAATACCGTTCTTGAGTGCCGGAATGGCTGTCTTCAAGCTTGGGAAGACTGAAGCCAGGTAGGCAAAGACAAGACACCATAGCGAGACACAAGCAAATTGAACGATAGTCAGTGTGACCGGCTTCGGAAAGGCATTCAGTATGGATTTTGAGGAAGTATTGGTGAGGGCTGATGTCATGTACCATACAATGCAAAGCGCCTGGTGGATGTTAGAACCGACTTTGTCTGTCAGCAGAGAGTTCTGGGCTCACAATAAGTTTGTAGGACACTGGTGCTTTGAGAGCTTCAGCAAGCTCGTGGGTATTCACGCTGAGACTACCTCGTCTTTGGCGGAAGTTGTCCAGGGCTTCGCTGACACTTCTTTTTGACCGATGCTTGTGCAGACCCCCATTTCTGTTCTCCCAGCCCGTCTGACTTGACCTGCGAGCAGGCCAAATCTTGACAGAGTGTGGAGCTACCTGGGGGCTGGTATCCTGAGGCTGGGTAATGGGGTATTGCTTGTCCGTTAACCGGGTGTCTTCAAATGAAGGAAATTTCTCGCCAACGTGGTCCATCGGGTATTGATGAGGTGAGAGAGGAGTCGGTGATTGAAGGGGAAAGGATAGACGTGTCGGACTGTGACTGAAGAGTGTGGTTGTTATCATTGCATCCTCTGGCGACTGGTAGGCATGTTAGTGAACCGGGGGTCAAAGTGTTCTTGTCTTTCAGAGCTGTCATACAGATTATCATATTGCAAGGCCATATAATCGAAACATCCGACCTGATAGCTACAGATCCTTTGCAGCTTCACGGGGTGGAAGGCGCAACAACTTCAGATGGAGGCACAGGCCAGGAATACTTCGAGCTTCGGAGCTTGCCTTGTGTCAGCCTCGTCGATATCTTCAACAAGCATTAAGCAGAGTTGCAGCTACAAGCGCAGAAACCAGAAACGTGTACATTAGTACGGAGTACATAGTATCAAGTCATTGAATCCCAATGGTTGCGGACTTTCCCGATATAGAATCTGGTCCGCGCGTCCAGGGTCCTAGGTGAAACATCGCTGCCAATCACCTCAACTCCTGCCACCACCTGTTCAAATATCATCGAATATGCGATTCTAGTGCAAGATTGTAAGCGACATCGACCACAGTGGACTACCAGCCTCTCGCAATGTCTGTACAGTAACTGGACAAAAGGCGCGAAGACCTCTAAGGGGATTGTTATGCTCATTGACCACGATATGGCTTTAGTCGATTCTCCTGTACCCGAGCTTCAGTTTTCAAAAAGATGGCATCTTCTTGGACCATTTCGGATAGGCACGCGAGGTACCGTGATCAGTGAAAATATTTCGGAGCGGTACAATTGACGACGACTACCAGAAGCTGTGTGGGGAGCTAATCCGCTTGAAGCCTATGGCGGCTTTCACAGGCTGCCTGTGGATTCTGAAGCCAAGTTTCACAGCTCCCTAGGCATTGATGGGCTGGTGAAATGGTCGACACTGGAAGATGTCTTGAGCTGTGGTTCGTTCACAGAACGTCTATCGATCGAGCTTAACATTGCGTTCCCGTCAGTGAACTGGACGTTCCAACAATCTGTATATGGCTGGCCAGCATTACAATATCAAGCATATGCGCGCGGTTTCATTGATTTGACAGGGCACTCTTCACATAGAGTGGCTTTCTCTGCCGAGCATGTTCTCGAGCTCGCCGTGAATGACAGTCCCATTTTTGGGGGTGACGTCTATGGATTTTGTCGTGCACCCATGATCTTGGATCTGGTTCCGGGTAAGAACAAGATTGATCTACGCTTGATTCGTGATGTTCGAGCCATGGGTGGCATTGGGAGTCCTTCGATTTTTGTCCGGTTGAGTTTCGGGCGGTGCGATAGGGGCTTGAATGTTGTTGATAAGTCTACTATTCTGCCGGACGTGATCAATGGGAAATTGACAAGCCCATATGCGTCTGTTATCTTATGCAATGCGGCTGAAGACTGGGTTAGTATTGTTGCTGTACGAAGTTATAATGTTCGTACGCTACCCTGTTCTTTATATTAACCAAGCTACTAACTAGAGAAGGACTCTTCAAATATCAGATTACTAAGTCCGTCATCTGTATCATTTGCGCCTGGTCAATCACGACCTGTGGGGCTCTACTTCAGTGCTTGCTCTGTCGACGTGGTCCAAGGTATCAGGATAGCCTTTGTTTATAAGATGACGAGCCACCAGTTCGAGCAGGCCACGCCTTTCCTCCAGCTTAATTTCTGTCAGAGACTGATTCAAAGCCCCCATAAGTTTACGTTCTTACATCCAAGTGGCACAGTATCCTATGCCATCCTACGGCCTCCATCAAGCAATGTGATAAAGCCAAGGCTTCCCATCCTTATGAACCTTCATGGTGCCGGTCTAGAATCGGACAGCCACCAAGTACGTCATATGCTGGATGCTGTGCCTGAGCTAGATGCTTGGGTCTTATTTCCAACTGGCATGAGCCCATGGAGTGGTGATGACTGGCATGTGTGGGGTTACGCAGATGTCACAGCAGCCGTTTCAGCGATACCTCAATGGATCCGTAACATGAACTGGTCAGGACCAGGCGTTGACACCGAAAGCTGGTTCGTGACTGGCCATTCAAATGGTGGACAAGGTGCGTGGTTTATATCCACACACCAGCCAGACAAAGTTATTGCTACTGCAGCTCTTTCTGGCTACTCTTCCATCCAGAACTATGTTCCATACCTGATGTGGAGAGAAGTCAGCCCACTGGTGGAGTCAATTGTTCAAAACTCTTTGAGCAGCTACCGCCATGAGCTTTTAGTGGAAAACATGAAGGGCATCCCTATCTATCAACAGCATGGTGCCGAAGATGACAACGTTCCTCCATATCACTCACGACTTATTCACAGTCTTCTCCATGAGAGCGGCTGTCCGTCAACGTATATGGAACTGTCCGAACAGGGCCACTGGTTTGATGGGGTTATGACAACTGGTCCACTTCGGGCCTTTTACATGTCTATTCTGGATTCTGACACTTCAAGAAGACAAATCCCAAAGGACTTTAGATTTTGTGTGCCCAACTCTGGCGATACTGGTTACCGAATGGGCATTTTGGCTGACCAGCTGGAATCACCAGACTATCTCGGCACGCTCAGTGTTCATCGAGATGATGAAGAGCGTCTTTGGCATATCAAAACATCAAACATGCATCGCATGCACCTTTGCTTTCCTGTCACTGGAGTCCAACAGCCTAAAGCACTCCTGGTTGATGAAACCTCAATCCAGATTCCCACAACCAACGCCACAGAAGAAGTAGCCCTTGTCAGACAAAATGACAAATGGAAGATGGTGAACGGCCAGAACTGGAAATGTCTATTTACTCGTTATGGAAGGCAACGAGGGAGTCTGGATGCAATTTTGAGAACCTCGTCACCTTTTAAAATGCAGGTGTGCTCAGACGGAGCTCAGGAAGCTGCATTACAAGTGAGCCGGAACCTGATCCAATACTATCGTGCTGATGCCGAGATTGTTACCCCTGAGCAATATTCTGAAGGCCCCAATTGCGGGAATGTCATCACTCTTGTCTTGGGCAACGCTGTTCTTTTCCCCCTCTTAGCTGACTTTCCCATCCAAGTACATGCCAACGGCATCGAGATAAGGAGACCAGGCGTTGACAAGCTGAAGCGGATACCTTCACATGCAGGCCTTGGGACTGCTTTTCTTCGGCCACTTCACAATGAGAATCTTGAACTGGTTCTTTGGGGCTATGACAGTGTTGGTCTGCAGCAGGCAGTCCGCATGGTGCCTATATTGACAGGAGCAGGACAGCCAGATTTCATAGTTCTGGACAATGATGCCAGGTGGAAGGGTGTTGGAGGAGTGTTAGCAATGGGCTTCTTTGACTATGCATGGCAGATTTCTCAAGCATCCTACATACCTTAAGCACCAGCAGACAGAGCTGTCCTAATCAATAGACTCTTCAACGCTGATGCCAGAAAGGGATGCAGCACCCCGGCCACGTGGGCTGATAATTGTGTTCTCCCTGTCAAGCGGTGTTGGCCATTGTTTTTTTTCTGGCTGGCGGTGTTCAGGAACACTGTCTACGCCAAGGCTGCCCTTCTGGCAGGAACACACTGAGCTCAAGGTCAATATTTCTCAACACCATCTCCTCCTTCCACAAACTCGCACTCCCCTTCAACTTCTTGTTTACCATCACCCAGCATTCCTCAATATCTCGCGGCGTTGCATAACGTCGCTTCCTTTGACAATAGCAACAAACCCCTTCTATCGTGTGAAAAGCGCAGTCACAAACTGTAAGTAAGATGAGCTCCACCTGCCTTGTCAAAGCTGTTCGTCTTTCTTCATCTCCATCTCATCGTGGATCCCGATCTTTGTGTCTTGCAACCCACATCCACTTTTTCACCCTCACCTGGCTGTCTGCCCTACCCTGGTACTAGTCGTTCAAACGTCTGCGTGGTCTATCCTTGCAGTCGCTGTCGTGATTTGATCCTCAGTTCTTGCATTTTTTTCAGGTTCAGCTCTATTCTATACCTGTATCAGCGCGCCGATCTGATCTCACGCTCAGCAAGCGGCGATGGCGGCCACACTCTCCACTGGGTCGCCAAAGCTAGGCAAGAAGTCTTCTGCCAATTTTGTCATTCTTGACCAGTACCAAGATGATCAGAAGGAAACACCACCAAGCTCGGTAAGCCTGAGCTGACCATGAGCTGACCAACGAACAACACCACAACCTATTTCTATCTTCAACCATAGCACCTTTCCAAGCTAACATCATCTTCTCAGGCTTCTCAAGGCAGTGTTTCCGGAGCGGGTCCAGCTCCGCTGCAATCTAGCATGCTCGTCAACACTCAGGGAAAGATCAGCACCACGGTAAGTCATCTCCAAGCACACCCGCTAGCCTTTGTCCTCTATCCTTACTAACTCATCTTTCCAGAGAGTCACACCTGAGAATAACGGCATCCCTAAGCATGACGACCCTGCTTACGTGGAAAACATCCTTGATCGCATGAATGAGATGCAGGTCAGAGGCAAACAAGAGGGCGCTCGATCCACTTTGACCAAAGAACAGGCAAAGAAACTCAAGGAAAAGTTGATTGCTGATCTCCAGGTGCAGAACGGAGAAGTGAAGAAGCAAGAGCTTGACAACAAAGGACAGTCTGGGCCTAATGTTCAAAATGAACAAGACCGATCTTCTGCGTCTGACCCTTTCGCTCAGGCTACTGAATCTTTCCGCATGGTATCACCCGTTGATGTAAAGGAGCCGAACACACTGAATCTGAATGGCGGTGACATTCTTCGTGTCCAGCAAGAACTTGCAGCAGCAAAGTCTGTCATCACACGACAGGAACAAGAGCTTGCGGAATCCCGAAATCTCCAGCATACCATCGACCAAGCTATGGGTCCAGCATCTGAGGCAGACTTTGGCGACCGTGGTGATAGGAACGAGGCAACCATCAACCATCTTCAGGGACCATTCAATGCCAATGCTCGACCTTTTGCTGCTCGTCCTGACCCGTGGCACCCTCGAGAAGACTATCGCTCTGACAACATCGATGGTGTAGCTGCGGGTAACTACAACCGTGGTCGTGGCAACTGGAATGGACCAAACCAGCCCACCTACGGCACAAATATTCCTCAACCATTGCCACAGCCGACCAATATCATGGATAATCGCAACACGATGGGAGCATGGCCAGCTGTGACAGGAATGCAAGCGAATCAAGGAGCCATTCCTGCAAGTCAGCGTGTCTTCTCTGGTCCAACTCTGCCCACATATGGCTTTGAAGGTCGTTTCGGTTTTGGTGATGACAATGCTCGATTCAATGCTGGCGGCGACATGGGGCGTCGTACAGCAAGCCAGTACAACCGCCCGACCTCCGGTTACAACAATCGAGCAGGTCCATTTGGTGTCAGCCTTGGTACAGCAATTCCACCCGTTCCCACATCTGCCATGAATTCGTTGGGGTTCAGTGGTCCTCTTGGATATCAGCCTCGCCCTATTGGGTCACCATTGTCTCCAACTGCGTCTGACTTCAGCACCATTCCGAACCTGGGGAATGCTTGGTCACAGGTAGATTCCAACACTCCTGATAATGCAACGTTCTAACATCCACGCAGACGAACAGCACAGTTGGTCAGACCTATGTTACTCCCCTCGAGCCCATGAACTATCGTCGTCTACTTGACAAGTCAGTTTCCTGCGACTGGAAATACATTGTCGACAAAATTGTTTGCAGCAATGACCAGCAGGCTTCGATCTTCCTTCAACAAAAGCTCAAGGTTGGCACTGCGGAGCAGAAGTTCGATATCGTCGAGTCAATCGTCAACCAAGCTTACCCACTCATGATTAACCGCTTCGGTAATTTCTTGGTCCAGCGCTGCTTCGAGCACGGCACACCCGACCAGGTCACTGCAATCGCCAATGCTATTCACGGCAACGTTATTTCCCTCAGCATGGATGCTTTCGGTTGTCATGTTGTTCAGAAGGCATTTGATTCTGTTCCGGAAACTCACAAGGCTGACATGGTCCGTGAACTCCTTCGTCGCATTCCTGAGACCGTCATCCATCGCTATGCTTGTCACGTCTGGCAGAAACTCTTTGAGTTGCGCTGGAGTGGGGAGCCACCTCAAATCATGCTCAAGGTCAACGAGGCTCTTCGTGGTATGTGGCACGAGGTTGCACTGGGCGAGACAGGTAGCTTGGTGGTCCAGAATATCTTCGAGAACTGTGTTGAGGAGGAAAAGGCAAGTCATGCCTCAGCCATTGCCCCGTGATGCTACTAACACCCTTGGTCCTTTAGCGCCCTGCCATTGAAGAAGTCATTGCCAGCATTGATCTTATTGCTCATGGCCAGTTCGGAAATTGGTGTATCCAGCACCTGTGCGAGCATGGCTCTCCACCTGACAAGCGCCGTGTCATCGACCACATTCTTGCCAATGCTTACAGCTACAGCATCGACCAGTTTGCTTCCAAGGTCGTGGAGAAGTGCCTCAAGATCGGTGGTGTCGAATTCATGGACCGTTACCTTGGTGTTGTCACGACTGCCCATCCTGATCGTCCTCGCATTCCCCTCATTGACAGTAAGTGCTTCTACCAGAATATCTTGGTGGGTCGGCTCAGCTAATGCATGCTAGTCTCTGGTGATCAGTACGGCAACTATTTGGTCCAGTGGATCCTCATGAACACTCACCACCACCAACGTGAGCAGGTCGCCAACCACATTCGGTAAGCAATGATCTGTTTGGGTGGTCATATAGCAGCTAACATGTATGCAGCAAGCACATGGTCTCCCTTCGTGGCTCCAAATTCGGCTCTCGTGTTGCAATGCTTTGCTGTAACCCGGCCTCCATCACTCGTCCTGGTCCCGGTGTCATCGTCAATCCTTTCGGCGCACCAGGCCAGCCTCGTGGCGGTGCTTGGGGTCGCTACCGTTAGGTCGGCTTCTTCACACATGCAAACCGCGGGACAAGAAGGAACGGACGATTCCATAGCTGTCTCTACTCTCCGCGACACAGCTACAAGAACACTGAATCAACGCTCTCTTCGACGTCTCCGGCAATTTGTTTACCTTACTGTTTCCATTTTGCAGAGATCAAGGTATTCTAAGGATTGTCAATACGCATAGGGATCATCTCCTGATGCTTTGGAATACGCTTGAAGGATCAACATGAACGAAGCTGGTCATGTTCGTTGGCTTAGCAAAACATGTTGGCTGCTTCTGCTGGCAAACCATATCACCCTTTTCTGCACACTATCCCCCACATGTATTCTATTACCTCCCCCCAAATTGCTTCATGTTATCACACACATCTGGAAAGAGAAAGTTTATGTGGCAAAGCCGAGTTGGCATCGAAAGATAACTTGGGCGGCAAAGATCATCACACAAAACAGAAACTTATGTCTTTCCCCACATGCATGTTTTATTTCCCCCCTACAAAAGTTCACACAGCGAAAAGGAAGCAAAGCTTCAGCACGCAGAGCATATGGTCATTGTTCACATCATGCTACCACCAACGACAATCAGCAACATGGATGCATGTATGTACTTTGATCGATGCAATCGAGCAGCAAATCCAGTTACATTAGCTATGCAGTCAACAGCTCTTGCGAGTTGAGGAATATCAATGTGCTTTAATCCCCAAATATATTGCTCCTCATGACTTTTGCCCCTTGTACATTATGATTCAAGTGACTGGCGTAACACAGTAGTAGGATGCTGCAGGGGCCAAGTCAGTAGGATGCAGCAAGTCATGGGTGCTCTAATTAGATTCACTTGCCTAGCATACGAAGGGGGTAAGGTATTTGCATTTTTCCTATCTGCCTATGCACAGAAAGCAGATATGTTTTACCTTGCTCCCTGTGTGAAGCCATGGAGCCCTCCAATACCATTTGCTTGCTTCTTGGAATGGCTAAACTTTGCAAAAACAAATCAGACAGGTTCACCGCACTGTACAACGTTTTGTCTTTCCATTACACAATGTTTGGGTCTCTTTTTCGGGACCAGCACCCTCCCCGTCCTTCTTCTCCTCTTCCTCTCCCTTTTCCTTCTCCTCGTCCCCTTTCTCCCACGGTTTCCGCCTCTGGGGTGTGCTGTCTGGCTGGGAGAGGCTGGGGTCGAGGACTGTATCTGGGATGTTCTCTATTCCGGGGATGGGCTGGCCACGCGTGATCAGGTCGACTATGGAGGAAAAGTTGGTGGGGTAGGGTGCGGCTGGCTGCGTGGTTTCGTCGGTGGAGGTGGCGGTGGAGGTTTGTTGTGATGGGTTTGAGGATGAGGTTGAGGAGGTTGTTGGACGGGTTGAGGGGTCTAGGTCAGATTTTGAATTTGAGTTTGGTGATGAGGTTCCGTCGATCTGGGGGAGGGTGCCTTCAGCTGCTGTATCTTGATTGGAGAGTGGTTCGTGGAGGTTGGGTCTTGTTTGTTCGACTGTGGGCTGACTGCGTGCCTCAGTACTTAGCCATGACTTGTAGGCTGCAACGTCGACTGGATCTGGTAAGTTGTATTTTCTGCTTACCGTCAGTCAGAGTCCCTTTCGTGCTTCTAGGGGTTGCGTGCTTCGAACCGTGCATAGTAGAAACACTGCGCCTGGAGCAGCAGATCGGTTTCGTGATAGACTGGATTATCAGAAGCGTTCCTTCCCGTATCTCCAGCAATAGAAGAGAAGCCAGTCTGGAAATCGGAGTCTTGAGCCCATGGATAGTTGTAGATCTTGCTGAAGATCGCGTCCCGATCTTTTGGAGCGCTGCTTGGTTGTGACGTGCTGACTGCTGGTGGTTGAAAGGGTTGTGACATATTTGCAGCAGATTCGGGCGATCACATAGCGCTCTCCATCCGTTCTCTGATAAGCTCGACGACAGCTAAATAGGAGGTAGGTTGTATCCAGGAGTTGAACGATATGGCCATCAGAACCAGACGCGACAAAAGAGATGGGTTTGAGAGTTTCTCCAATTTTATTTTGATGCCCCGGGGTGCGGGGAGGAATGTGGGGAGGAGTCTCACTGCTTATCACTGCCCAGCCTCCTTGGCTTCTCTTCACCTACTTATGCTCCTTCCTCCCTTCCCCTTCCACTTCTCGTGAAGTAGAAGCATACCATCTCAGAAAACAAAGACCAGTGGATATGAAGGGCTTTTGTCCGTCTCGCCAATGCGAAGGACTGGGTAGCCCTGTTGAAGTGCACCCAGGGGAAAGTGCTGAGACGTTGCAAATATTGCTCTTCAGTACAGTTTGACTGTATACCGGACAAGGACTCATCTCACCCCTATTCCACCCTTTGGACAGAAACGACTGTATCCAGTAGCTGCCAGACCGATTGACAGCTGTGGAATGGGTGAAAGACCCGACGATATTATATAGCGCATGCTACAGCACATGATCGACATGAAGGACAGACCAAAAAGACATAAGAGGCAGCGAATCCCATGCGTGTCCCAATACCAGCAGGCTTGAGGACTGGCATCCTCACTCTTTTCATCTTGAACGAGAATGTGAACCTGCTCATCCCAAGTATGTACACCACGTCAGCGCCTGGGCATGCACAGAGGCTTCACAAGGCATTCAACCAAGAAATTGCATATCAAAGCTACCCTTAATGCTCAATTCAGCAAGACAAAGGTCAGATTTGATGACATTGCCTTTTTCAGGTGGGGGACTCTGTTCGAATCTCGGGAAGCTACCCCCTTTGGGTGGTGAATAAGGTTTGGAAGCTGAGAGCAACCCACCATGAACAGTTGGAGGACACTGTTCTGGGGACCAACCCTTGGATAGACATGTGCCCGGGTCAAGCTCATTTTCTTCACACACTACAGGAACTGCATGGGAGGAAATGCTTTTCCGATACAGCGGCTGTGGCGGATGCTCGGGATGAATCTGGAAATTCTAAGCCACAGCGCATCGATGTCCGGAACAGGTCCTATCAATACTGAAACGTGAGCTATTTCGGGGCACACAACATACCTTAGTCTGGCCACCCACAGCTACAGCGTTTGACCAAGTCTTACGAGAACAATATCATGCTGGACTGGACCTCAGACGGGTATCAAATGACATGAAGCGCAAGGAAATCATTGCAACATCCCAGACCATCCATAGTCCTCATGGCACCGGACACTTGAAATGCTGATATGTACGGGCTGGGCATACCAGGTTTATAGAATACTGTTAAACTTCTGAACGTACACTACCACTTGGCGAGACAATTTTTCGCGCAGCACTGTCGGCAACTCTCAAATTTCGAACAGCTATAGCTCCACCAAAATAGCTCCAAATGGACTCGAATAAGGAACATTTGATTCAGAATGCATCAAATGACGTCGATATAGGGCTATTTAGCTCAATTCGCAAGGCTGCGAATTACTCCAACGTTCTGAATTCGACCGTGGCCCATCGACGCGCAGGGTGACCCTCTATCGCAGAAACCGATCGCATTTCGCAACGCCTCTCAAAACAAGAAGAAAGAGTGCTTATTCAATATTTTTGAGACCTCCAGAGGCAGCATCTATGCCCAAATTATGCTCAAATTCGTCGAATGGTCACCAAATTGCTATATAGCAAGGGGGATAGAATTCAACTTGGCAAGCATTATATAGAGCATTCAATTGCTCGCCATCCAGAGCTCAAAATGTGTCGAAATCGACATATGGATATTAAATGAATGATAGTCCTCGATTCTGACGTTATTGAACGCTTTTTCGGCGAATTCGAACAGCTTCGCAGCCAATACGCAGCTGAACCGCAGGATATCTACAATATGGATGAAACAGGGTTTTAGATAAGTCAAATAGCATCAAAATACGTTATTTTGACTGTTACGCCGCGCCAAGGCTGCCAAGTGTGCCAAGCACGCTACGCACGCTTAGTGCGCGCACGCGCAAAAGGAGAACTCTGCATTCTAGGAGCCAGTTTCTCCATCGTTCGACTTATTGAAGTCGGGAGCCTATCCTTAGTCGCCACTGCTGATAGTGCTTTACGACTGCAAAGCGCATAGTATTCGTACGCTAGATTGTCACACCGCTCAAGACCCTAGGCGTTCCTGACATTGACCCTTTTATGGGTTGTTTAGTGGCTCAGGCATCAGATAACACTTAATGGGTCTCTATTATTAAGTGTATAAATACAGAGTTATGCCCAAAAGTAGTCAAACTACACTAAGGATATATATGCCAAGAGGTTTACTCTTAGTAATCATATTATTTGACATCTCTTTCTCTATAAGCTTTAGGCCTGTGGACACCTTAAGCAGTGAGGCTTTAGATAACCCTTAGCCCTTAGCTGTCTAATTTTAGGGTCAATGTGCCCTAGAATAAAGATTACTTAGGGAACAGAGTAGTAGCATTTCTTGTGGCGCTTTAGGCTGGCTAAGGGTTTTAGCCCCTGGAATGTTTAGAGTAATATTCCAAGAATCGATGTAAGGACAAATTGATTCCTTTATCTTGGCAAACTATCTCTTAGCGTATTTTGACTACTTTTGGGGCACGACTCCGTACTGAAAGGGCTATTAAGCCCTATCTTATCTTCGTTGGCAAGAATCCTGAACATCATACTACGTTATGTTTCCAGAGCATGAGCAGCTATGTCCAAAAGAAGTTAGATGCAATTATTTGACTCATCAGAATGAGAACTAGCTGCTCCTAGCACCAGACTAACATTACTTCAGGCCCTCCGGCCCCCGTAGTATGTTAGTTGGGTACCTGGTGCTCCAGCTCCAGCTCCGGCTTCGGCTCCAACTCCAGCTCCAGCTCCAGCTCCAGCTCCAGCTTCACCCCCATCTCCATCTCCATCTCTGCCAGAGAACTGGTGGTCATGCACTCCATTAAACACTACTTTCTCTCGCACCTTGTCCGTTCGCATCCATCTTCATCGAATCGTCTATCTCCCATGTCTACCGTCTCCGACGACTCTTCAGGCGAGTGGCTCGTTCACCCTTCTGGAAATGACCAGGCCCCCCCATATACTGAGATGCCGGAAAGTCCTGAAGCGCCTGAACCGTCTGAAGCGGTATATGAGATACTGGAATTCCTGCCATATGAGTTAATCCAGCTGGTCGTCTTGCATGTCAGCACGATCAAAGATCTTCATTCTCTAGCTCTCGTCAACAAGCTCTTCAACAAGATTTTCCATGAAGTGGCAGAGCCTCGAATCTACAAAGACATCTTGATACGCACGGGCGGGCAAGCAGAGAAGCTCGCCTACGCTGTCATGAGCAGGCCCGCTCGAGCCACCTTGATCCGAAACCTGCAGAATGCGTGTCAATACCGCCACTTCGACGGCCTACCAGAGCTCGCCAAGGTGGTCCCTATGATGACCAAACTGGAAGACCTGGTAGTCGAGACGCCAGACTGCAACTCGGTGGACCCAGTTGACCGCCTGCCCTGGGTTGCGCAACAACTAGAATACAACAGACTCTTCGTCAAAGCTGCGCAGCCTAGTAGCAACATCCTCCCAAAACTTCGCTCATGCACTCTTCACTTCGTTGACAGGGACAGTTCGCTGTACCACCTCGGCCCCTACTCTATCATCTTCCTCCACCCTGTCCTCACCCATCTCACCATATCCTGCGCCAACATCGACCCACCGGCACATCTGCATCCCAAACTCCAGGGAGACAACCTCATCAACACCACTCCGCTCAACACTCTCAACCTCATCGAGTGCGACATCGACCCATCGGGCCTCTACCACCTCCTCCGCCTCCCCCGTCGTCTCACATCCCTCGCGCTAACCGAAGCAAACCACTACGCCCGCTACATCCACGATCACTACTACTCCGGCCTCACCTCGCCCCGCGCCCTCCACCCGATAGCCACATTCCAACCCCAGCTGCAGCACCTCCGCGTCGCGCGTACCCGTTCGAATATAGGTTACCTCCTCTCCGTCCCACCTCTAGATCTAAACCCCTTCCCAAATCTCCAGTCCATAGAATTCTCTCATGTGCAAAACCCACGCGCGACCACCCTTGAAGCACCGAGTTGGTGTGACCTGGTGCATCGCGCTGGACCCCAAATGAACACGGGAAACCTGGACACAACGACGATGCTAACATACTCCGAGGTACCACGCCAATGGTGGGAGAACATGATCCAATTCTTTAAATGTGCGTTCCGCAACAAAAGCTCTCACGGCATCGGAAGCTTGAAAACGTTGAAGCTGATCTTGATCGATGATGAGTTGCTGCTTGGGATGCGGGACATGGCAAGGAGGCTGAGGGCGACGGAGCAGCAGATTAGGAAGGATAAAGTGGCGAGGGTGAGGCGGTTGGTTCGAGAGTTGGGTCATTTAGGTAAGGAAAAGAACGTTGGAGTGAGAGTGGTGGTGGAGTGGGTCAGACCAAATGGCAAGACTATTCCTCCATATCTTGTGGGTGAGGATGTGCCGGAGGTGCGAGGTGAGTATGACTCGGCGGAATGTGAAGGAGAAGGATATGGTTGTTGCTTGAGAAGCAGAGATCTCGCCATTCCTGGCTCGAATCTCGGCCAGACTTGAAGTAACGTAGCCAACGCTTTTCCGGCAGATTCAAGTGCGGCCGAGGCAGGTATACGTTCCCCGGAGCTCGAGCACTGTCCTTCACAGCCATGGAGACAGTCGGTATGTTTTGAAGAATGTCATCATTGCGTATTCAGTCTGTGGGACGGGGTGAGGTTGGGTTGCGTGCAGTGAGTGGTCCAAGTGACCGAAGTTTCCGCCCATTCTGACTAGCCAGCAGAAGCTCAGTTTCTCATAGCGTGGGCGACATATTTCACAAGTCAGGCCTTTCAACCCATTTGGAGACAATTCTCCTCTCTATATGTCCAGGAGTTGCGTCTACACGGCAAGACCAAGGCAAGTAAGATGCTCGACTTGATGAGTCTTTTCGGTTCAAGGCACGCGATCAGTCGAGTAATTCTTTGCGGGTTGGGATGTAGGGATTCATTTTATCATGGGTTGAGTATCTTTCATATACAGTGCCCTTGTTGCATTGCGGTTCGCTTCGGTTGGATCGGTTCGTCTAGGAGTGTTGAATATGCAAGCTGTGGCTGAGGTGCATACACAGAGACCGCCAGACAAGCAGGCATACTGCGAAACCACCATTACAATCAGTGTCCCAAGCATGACAATGATGATCTCCATCCTATGCAAGTTTAATACGTCCAAGAGCCTTGCGCCTTTCCAACCACCACAGTAAACAAGCATCACGATTCGCCCGGAGCTAAATACTCATGTACTGCCAGTGTCCGGAGAGCCCGGCCGAGCTACGTAGTAATCAGTTACTCTACATGGCAACACAAGTGCCCCATCCCTCCCAAGCTCGATAATAAGTTGAGGTTTACTGTCTGATATAGCCGCGCAGGTTGTACTCGTATAGTGTACTCACAGAGACCGGTAATCATTTGCAGATGTACGATGTACGTAGTAACTTGTCAGGGCAAGGATCAGATGAGGATGAGGAGCTTTCAAAGGAGATGCCGGCCGGTTCCTGGACTAAGACTCGGGTCTGGGTAGGATGGATTGCGTCAGGAAGAGATTGGTGATGATATCTACCTTGTTATTGCCTGATAGATGAGGTGTCAACCTAGCGTCAATTAAGAAGATCGCAAGATCATTGATTCAGCCGTAACGATATCAACGATGATGAATTGGCAGCCTGAATTGGCAGCTTGAGCTGACTGTACTTGGGCCAAGACAAATCCCGCCACCGACTTCACACCCCTTTCCCTTTTCCCTCCTCTCTACGGAGTACCTTGTAAAACTCTTGCCCAACCTTGGCGTTATATCGAGAATTGCTGTCGCTACTCAGTAGTATGTCTTTCAACAATAACAGCTCTTACAAGACTTGTACGAACCGAGATTAGATGTACTCTACATGAAAACCATGCTGAGCTTCTTCTGATGCTTCTGAAATCGATTTAGCAGCATGCGGGTAGACGAGAGAGAGCTGTAGGAACTCGAGATGAGTAGGACGCAAAATTGCTTGGTGAATGCATGAAGGTGGTGTAGTTTGGCTTGTGACTGGACTCGCGAGCTGCATGTTCATAAGTGTACTACGTACTGTTCTTATATCGGATACCTAGGAGAATGGACAACTCGATACCACTGTCCGACGGATGGTAGAGCTGTTATCGCGGAATCGGCGATTCCTCGTATAAGGTCGAGAGAATCGATGGCATCGAAGAATTATGAGCCGCTCAGGTCATCCACGCGTCCTAAGCATGGCATTGAGCGCAAAGGTTCCAGAGGGAGGGTGCGGGTAGGTTCGAGGTACACCCAACTTTTTTTATATACTTGACTTGAACCAAAAGGACGCCTTGGATACCTCGGACCGGAGGACCTTCGGACCGCGGCCACGGATAGCCGCGCTAAACAACCTCATCTGGTTGACAACTTATGTTGTTACTTCGTTCTTGTCTCTTGTGCTTGTAGAGGAGAAAATTGTCACCATGGTTCATCCAGTACTCCTCCTCCAGCTGCTCATGAAGTCATTAGGAGGGAATGAAAGTGTGGAGCGACTGCCTGGCGATCTGCCGGACCCGTAGCCCATCTCAGACCAAGGGGTAGGCGCGTCAACCGACGGACTCAATGATAATTGACCCAGCGAAAAGTCGTCGAGTTTCTGCTCTACTCCCCATATGTGATACGCTGCATTCTAACTTTCTATCGCAACCGTTTTGAACGCCAGGTGCTGCTGCCAAAGATCCCAAACCTCATTATACAAAAAGTAGAGGTGGCGTCACACCAAGATCTAGTCGCTTAATCACTCCTCCAATCCATTGAGACCGCCGGATAATCTACAGGTGCACCCTTAGAAAGAATAGTCTCTCTGAAATAGCTTTCTTTCAAGCCCTTAATCCCCATGCGCCACCAGGAATGTAGTGTCTGTTTTGATGACCATGCGATCACTATCGCTGCTGTCGTAATTAGTTTCATCCCCGCTAGTTCGTCTTGTTGTGTCTCTCTCTTTGCCATCCCGGTTGTTGATCACCTCAACAGCTACCCACGCGTCACAACCGTATGCGTCACCGTTTCCATCAAAGGTGGGTGCTGATATGTGCTTCACATTCCAAGTGGTCCCTGACTGTAGGTTTGACATTTGGTAGCTGCCCGTTTCACCGAAGCCATAATCATCCTGATTCGATGTTTGACCGAGGCCGCCGAACTGTGTGTTGAGATTGTTCATAAATGGGCGCAGGCTGGGGATTGTGGCGGAGATGGTTGAGTAGTTGAGCTCTGCTTGTGTCCATACAACGAAAAGATCTTCGAGAAGGGTGGGGTGCGTGGTGAAGCCAGCCTCGTCGAATGTAGCGAGGCGGAAAGCAATAATAACAATCATCCTATGTCACGTATCAGCAGCCAGCTAAATGTCGTGGTGTATTTGAGCTTAAATTCTTCAGAAGGGAAGACTAACGGAAGACGGGAGGCAAAAGCGCCCACCACGGCCTTTTTCGATCTCCAAGTCTGAAGGCCCAAAACGAGATAAATGGCCATACTGGGAAAGCTGATTTCGATTATTATGTCAAACACGCAGAGGACTTGTCATCGTAGGAACTGCACCGTCAGGAAATATCAGCCTATCGCCACCAGAATAATCTGGACGGTTCAAATCGTACCGCGCCTGCACACTTTTGGCTAATCAAAATCCAAGGGCGCATGAGAGTGCATTGTAGTGCAACAGCAAAGATCGAACAAATTGTCCACGCGCACGAGAAAGTTATTGCAGCAGTCAAGATTCGCTTCTGGTGTCTGGCCTGCGTCAAACGTAAAAGAAAGAAGAAGACCGAAAGCTTCGATAAGCCGAGACCGATAATGAAGAATATGGTGCTCGCACAGTACAGATTTTGACGAGAATCAGCGAGAGCGAATCAGTCTGTGGGGGTCTGTGCAAGCACTTCTACCTCTTGTACTCTTGTCTGTGCTCTCAGCTGCACGATTTCTATCGATTTTCCAAAGCCGCCAGAACTCATGGACAGCACCAGCGACGATTGGATAATTGCCACTACCTGTAGCTTAGGTTTAGTATAAGACCTCGAAGATCTGTCGATCATCGCACCGATCAACGCGGTAAGGACAACTCAATTGACTCACTGTTGCTGCGGCTAGTGAGGCATCATCGAGCCCAACTCCAGGAGCAATTGTCCGGCGAATAAATATTCTGATGGTGGCGAATAGTAGAGTCCAAGACAGACCCAGGGCTGTAGCAATGAAGAGCCATGCCGAATGGTCGGTATCAGTCACCACGGCGAGGGGAGCGGAATACCCAGGAGGAACAGAGAAATCAGAGCTCGGGCTGGACATGACTGTCTTCACACTGCTCAGCTAGAAGTAAAAGATAATAATAGAACTAAAAATTCTTCATTAGGTGAAGAAAACGTAGCAAGTCTGTTTGGCACTTCCAAAGACTCAAGGCGTAGAAATGTGAGATCTGACAGAAAACAGACGGGTTACGATGGAGGTAAACTTGCAATCAAGTACCAAAATTCTGACCCAATCACATCTGTCATCACAGATGGTCGAAGTCGATGTAAGTTTCAAACCTTTTTCAACTTCGTCACTTGAATTCAAAGTCAGTCCCCATCCAACTTTCAGCCTCTTCCTTCAATTGAGCCATCTGAATCCTTTTGCCTGAGCAAGGTACTTCCGTTGTTGTTCAGGGAGATTGAAGGCATTGGTCAGGTTAAGCCGACCTTCAAGGGCAGCGCATAAGTCACGCCCTAGTGTAGAGAGAATAACGTTACAAACTGGCTTGTGCAACACACCCGCACCGGCAACAGCTTTAGGGCTGGCTATTTCCATGCGTGTTAGAACCTCCAAGCCACTAATTTCAATTCACCTGTCCTTTTACAAGGTTGATTACAACTAACACAGAGATAGGTTGAATGGTCAAAACCAAATAATGTCTGTTCACATAATGCCTACTTGAACTATTTCAAAGAATTCTAACCTTGGATATATGTGGTAAAAGCCAAAGCGCCACGGATTTTTGTTGCGAATGGGGGTCTGTTGCACATGTCAGTTAGTAACGTTACCGAAGATTGATTGCTCTAACAGATAAGGGACACATCAACTACTCCGCCAAAAGATGGCGCCGATGGGTTTCGAACCACACTTACTCCGTAATTGATGTACCCCTCACTGACTCGACCAGCAAGCGGTGGGTGCCACACACCATCCGGACGCCACTGGCACTTCGCCGCTCTGGACCAGGGCGCGGGGACCGCGGATCGAATTTTTGAGCTGTCATACTAAAATACCATACCGCTGAAATGTGACTTCTAGCGCCGCATTAAGCTATATGGAGTGAAGATGCACACTTCAAAACATCTGATTTGTTCAGACAGCTCTGACAAACTTCATCGCCCACATTCCAAGCTCATTGTTCTAAGCTAATTGGCTCTGGTTGTCTAAGGAATATACTCCCGATTCGCCAAATCCAGGCTCTAGAAGTTATCTTCCGGCGATACTGCCTGGTACGCAGTTGCTATCTCTCGATCACATTCGGCCAGTCTTGCCGTCATTTCACAATCCTCCACAGACAATCGAGTAAGGTTACACTAACTGCTCGTATGCTCATCTTACTACACACAAACAGTGCTGTTGTAACATGCAACATAACTTGTCTGCTCGCTTGCATCAATCTTGGCTCCTCGGTCGCTCTGCACGCTGTCAATTCTCTGGGAGGCGTTTCTATTCTCACGTCATACTATATTACGATTGGCTGTCTAATCTGGAGGCGGCTCCGAGGACCGCCGTTGCCCTCACGACGATGGTCACTGGGAAGATTCGGTCTTCCCATCAACATTGCAGCCCTCATGTTCCTGACCCCTCTCTGGTTCTTCGCATTTTGGCCACTCGCGACTCCGGTAGTGGCGTCGACTATGAATTGGTCTTCCACCATGTTCGGTGGCACCATAATTATTGCGCTTATCTACTATTTTGTGAAGGCGAGGCACGTATACATTGGACCTGTAATGCTGGTCAAACGAGAAGACTAAGAGCAGTGCCACATTGACATTATCATGTCTTTGATCTCACAATGACCCCCCCCTTTATGACGGTAGACACAATTTGGGCTTTGTTGTCTGCGGTATGCGTACATATCTCGAAGAAGTGATACAGTTCTACCGCTGGTATATGAAGTCAAACATCCATCCTAAACCTGAGCCCATTATCTTCTCGGCTCTCTTTAAATTTTCAAACAGTCTGCATGGGAACGGTAGATAAAAGTCTGGAAAATAGTACTACGGCTACATGCCTAAGTTGGGTCAAAATATCCGGCACGTGCCATCGGGCTGTAACAGTAAAGTAACTTTTTTCATGATTAGTTGAGCGGGATGCCGTACGCTTAAGTGCGGCCAGGCAGTGACAGACGCGGATGGCTTGGAGCCGCCAAAAAATTGGTGCTGCAACTCTCAAGCTAAGCGATGTACTCCGTACGGAATACAGCAAGGTACATACCAGTATCTAGGGGCACAGTTTCGTTGACCAGTACTTGGTAGTACAACCCCGATTTATCTCTGTCAGCCGTGAAACGGCTCAGGTTGGCGGCTCTACTTTCCAGAAATACCTTTGGAAGTGACCACTTAGATCCCTAGTCCTATCAGTAGCGAATGTGCGATCAGACCCTCGCGCTGCAGGCACCTTCAGCGATTTGCTCCCCGTGAGAGTTTCGAGGATATCTCTCCCGATACAGACCAAGGTGAATCGAATCTAAGTCAATCACCTTCCTTTCAGCATTTACAAACAAACATCATCCCAATGTCAACGCCTGGCGCGCTTGCTGGCCTACAGACTTTCGATGAGCTCAATATCGACTACGAAAAAGCCTATCATGACAACCCATTCAAGATTGCGTGTGTAAAAAAAGTAATCTCTCTGCTGCCTTTAGGCTCCAGGATTCTTGACGTCGGCTGCGGGACAGGAATACCAGTCTCAGAGTTGCTGTCCAAGGCTGGTCTTGAAGTCGTCGGATTCGACATCTCGCCAAAGATGGTAGAATTGGCACAAACACGAGTCAGGGGATTTTTCACCGTCTCCGACATGCTCGAGTACAAACCCGAAGGGAAATTTGCCGGCATCTTGATCATTTTTGCTCAACTTCAGCTTTCGTACGCTGATCTGCACTCCGTCGTCCATAAACTCGCGGACGCCCTTGAAGAAGGTGGACTAGTCGCGCTCGGACAGATGCCAGGTGATAGCCATGTGAAGGACGAAGCACACTGGGACGAGACAAAGACCTATGTAGAAGACTACGATGCTCCATTCATGGGCAAGATGCTTCCCACCCTGATGTTGAGCGCCCAAGGGCAACGAGACTTCCTCAGCTCGATGGGTTTAGAGATTGTCAGCGAGACGATCGATATGTTTCAGCCGAAAAACGAGAAGTGTGTACCGGAGGAACAGCAATATATCATCGCCAGGCGACCGAATGAGCAACCGTTGGCGGAGCCAATGCCTCTCCCGAGAGTGAAGAAGCAACCAAGGACTACTATCAATTGATATAGGTGGGGAGATTTTGGCATGTTCCTTGCATCGCGACACAAGGAGCATTAGTCTGAAGACGGATGTCGACGTCGATAGCAAAGACGGCGGTGCAAGTAAATGATATGAGCAAGAGACCATGTACTACCATAGAAATGGCGTCGGCGTCGTTTGCTACGCGTTTGATGGCAGTTCCTGGACTCCTTCGACGATTATATTTTGAGTTTTTGACAGATGTCTGGTGTCAAAAATCAAGATCTACCAGCTGCAGGATGACGACCCGGAACCAGCAAGCTGCTCAAGCTTTTTTACCAGGTAGACACTTTTGATGGAACACAACATCCACCACGTGCGATACACCCTTCCCTGTCTGCCTTTCTGGAATGGAGTCATTCGAAACAGATAGAGTTTTCTGCGCAGGTTTTGCACACGATCAATGCCCTCGAGTGCTGATAAGAGGGTTTTTAGATAGATAAGCTCATTCCAGTCATGCGAATACAGATGCAAAGATGCAACAGCAAACGACGCCTAGCTATAACATGACAATGAAATGATGGCAACGCGTTTGGCGTGCTGCTGAGAACTTCCAATAGATCTGATCACCTTTGCGGCTCGGCGATACCAGACGATGTCCAGGACGAGGCACCATTGGATGTCCGGACACACTCAACGAACTCTTCTACAGGAGCCTGTTTTTGATGGGGGTGAGACCATACTTCTCGATCTCGGTTGCGAGTCCCGTGCCAGGCATGCAACCACATTGATCTGATGATACTACCCTGGATAGCGGACCGTGCAATTTCTACTACACGCAATCCAGCCAACAATTCCTCTTAGGGCCCGTTCGTCCCGGACTATCTACACTCACAGTCCCAGTCAGATAGATATTTCTGCTGTATCGTGGATATCTACCACCATACTTCAACCACTGTAGCACTCCACGGGATGCTAACGTTCCGCTCGACGTTCCCGAGCATTGATCTTTTTGTACTGCTAAATACCTGAGTTAAGGTTCTTGTGCTGTTCACGGAGCAATAACATGAACACAGAAAGGAGAGTGCGGTGCTTGAAAGGAATTCGAGGTCAAAGCCGCCGTTTTATGCATGCAAAACTAGCTAGCAATCTGTCGGTATAGCTTCTGCTTTCACATTTCTTATAAAAGGGGCGACCACACCTCCGCTTTAAGCTTGCCTCCTGATCCTTCTTTACTTCCTCTTTCTTCTCACCCATCCATCATCTCTCATGTCCTCCATCCACATTCCCTGCCCACAGACTAATTGCGGAAGCAAATTGCACTAACCTGCGGCTGTGGGGGCCCTATGTCCGCCCCTTGGTTGCATCGAACCATAACACTCGACCCTTGAGCACCAGTGAGAAAGCATGTTGCGCCGCAGACAGTGCTGACACGGCTGACGGAGAGCGGGTTGTCTGTTACGTAGGTATTCATGTTAGTCCTGCGGGCAATGCATGGTAACGGAGAAGAGCATTACGCACCGATTGGGATTGAAGCTCCATTAGTGGGAACAGTGATGCTGTATCCGGCGTCTCCTGCTCCGTAGAGAAACAGGGTCACCTCGGTGATCTGGCGTTTTTGCATCTCTTGTCCTGGGGCGGCGAGAGCAGCGCCCAGGATGGCGGAGGTGAGAGCGAGAAAGAATTTCATTGTTGCTCGTGTGGTTCTTTGGTGTTGAAATTGGATGAGTGTTTGGAATTGAGACTGAGATATGTGCTTGAAGTCGGTTGTGGATGGATATGTTGAAGGGACTTGAATGGGGGTTTATATATTCGAGGACACCACCCTTGCGCAAGATGCGAGAGAGCAGCTGAAATTTGATCTGTGATACCGTAGTATTCGGCATCCTTCTCGTGATAAGGAGGTGTAAGCATACAGCTTCCCAAGCTCTCGACACGGAGATGTCTTTCATTGGTCAAGGTAAGAAACGGTGCGGTGCAGAGTAAGCGTGTTCGTGATAACACGAGAACAGAGCTATTAGTAAGTAGGAAGAGAGCAACATCCTGCCCTAACCAAGGATCTGTAAGTCTTTCTTCACTGGTCCGAACATGACGGGCGTCGTAAGCAGACGTCATCTGGGATCTCTGGCCTTGTAGGATGGATCTCCAGCTGCCCTTCTCTGGGCCAGCGCACTCAAGATACAACAGTCCTGTTCTGACAGTTACCACGAAGTGACCCCAACAGACCTACTGGTTCGTGACCGTCTGATAATAATACACGATGGCAATGCATCGTGTTGTGTCAGACAAATAGCAGGTTAGCCGCCACTTGTAGCCGCGGTGCTTTTGGTCCTCTGGTCCAACATATTGGCAGGACAATTTTCAATACAGCACAGCTGCAAGGTTACCATATTTACCGGACATCTGCCGTATTCGCCCCTCCTAGTTGACCACCTGACACTGTTGAAAGTGACGTTTCTAAATTTTATTACCATCAAAGGATTCATCCAGCTTAAATATAACATCAATGTTATTTTAAGCACTCTGATTTCATCACGCCAAGCACGCCAAGCGTGCAACGCTGAAAGCACTACTAATAGCTCCGAGTCACTCATTTAGGTATGTGGTACGGAGTACTTTGTGCCCCCCAAGAACTCTCCGCTAGCGTGAATATACAATCCCACAAATCAGGGCCGTTGTGGAGCGCTATGACTCTGAATCCCAATTGGTGGCGTGTAGCTATCTAGAATCTAAGATGCAAAAAGTTCGGATGAATAGCTCTCTGGGCGCCAAGGCCCTACTCCGTTCTTAACTTTGCAGGCGTCCAGGCCCCACAACATTTCAACGAATCCATAAAACTTGACAGTGAGTTCACAACAATGAAGAGACAATAAAACCTCATAATTTTGTTATTTCAATATAGTCTCTTCTCTATCTGTGGACCTAGTACCGTGCACAATGAACGCTGTACAGAAACCATTACCCAGCCAGCCCAACATCGTCCACTCATTCTCTATCACGTCCACAGCGAGCGACAACAGCACCGCTCAGGATATGATGGGATGATCAGGTGAAGGGATCTATCGAAAACTTCGTATTGTGCCACTGCACCCTGTCCTCAGGCGGCTGCCTTTGGACTACTACAAACTTCAACTCCTTTGATTAATCATCCACTGCTTTCCTTAGCATGGATTTCTCTTTCAAGACACGTCGAGCACATTGATATTGGTATCAACCCCAGCTCACGCATACTATCTGATTAAATATATTTCCTTCTTTCCATCTTCCTTTCGACTCACTTTTCTCGATTGCTCTAGTCTGCAACCCGTTGAGATGATACTCCCGCGTCTCTGACGCCAATGCTTCCGGCATACATCTGGATCGCTACTTTGAGATCATGGATGTTATATATGGTATGTTTGGGTGGAGGTGGCGGCAAGGGGAGGAGAGGAGAGGAGAGGAGAGAGAGCGGATTTTTTGTTTGCTTTTCCCATCTTATCAACTACAGTACAGGTTGGAATGGACAACCGCGATGGAGAGCACGTCTTTTGAATAATGAATGAATATTACTCCGACTACAGCGGCAAGAACTAGAGTATACCGTACCTAATCAATCCTCTCCTGGGAAATCGCACGTATGTCTTCCAATCCATCAACGGCCACGACGCGCCCTTTTCGATCATCGCATCCACCGCCTGGTCAGCGACCTGCCCCTCCTCTCCCTGATCTCACTCTTCCAGACCGCCGGCGCCGGGCTCGTCCTGGGGCAGCCGCATCCTCAGCGCTCCGCTGACGGGCAACATCAGCCGACGACGCCACCGCTGCCGCCGATGCCCTTGTGCTCGTGCTCGTGCTCGTGGTCCGACCAGTCCCTTGGGGCCGCCACTGACGGCGCGCTCGAGGCCTTCGACCTCGGGGCCGGCCACCCCTTCGCGGACAAGAAGCTCGAGCTCGAGAAATTATCGAGGCTGGGGAATTCGCAATAGCTTTGGCTGCGGAGGAACAGGGGGTCGGAGGAGCGGCGGCTGCTACCTCTTGAATATAGAGGATGATGGAGAGGGGCCATGGTGGCTGTTTCTGGACGGTGATGAAGGGGAGGATTTATTGCTAGTTCCGGGATCATCGCTTTGAATTGGTGTCAGCAGGGCAATGAGGCTGGGGGTTTGCAGCATTCTGCTCCCTTTGTAGCCTTATTCTTGGGCTGAGGCGTGCTTTTTTGGGTGCGGAGGGGGTGGCAGGAGGATTGCGAGAGTCGACTGCTGCTGCTGCTGCTGAAGTGGGAGGAGGAGGGTCTCCGCTGGACGGTCCCAAGGAAGAAGCTGCTGAGAAGATACTGTCATCTCGCCTTTCCTGCAATAGTCTGGCACGGGGAGAATAATCGCTTGGTCGTACGCTAGGGGCTAACAGGCAAAGGCCTGCCATGGGATACGAGGCAGATTAGCAGCCTGCTGCCGTAGACAGTGCAGCAATAGGTGAGTCTTGTGGTGGGCCTGCTTCGAATCCCCGAGCATTTTTCGATCCCTGGCCTCTTTTTGATTTACAGCCCCCTTTTAATCCCCGGCCTGTGCTCGATCCTCGACCGGGTTGTGGTGCCCAGTCTGCTGCTGGCGACAAGACTTCTCTGGCATATGCCGCGGACACGCTTGCCCCTGTTTGTCCGTTGGGGACATATAGAACCTTTCCTAGTGCTCCTGCTGCCTTGATAGCTGCTACTGGTGAATATGGTCGTTGGGAGCCTTTGAGCCAAGGGTTTGCTGCCGCTGATGAAAATGAAATGGATGCTGATTCGCGTCTAGGGGTTGATGGTCGGGATGGATTGAAAGACGATGGACCTGCAGACCCGGGATATGCTGCAGATGGGGACTCCGTAGAAGCCGACGAGGACCTCGGCGATGCTGTGTAGTACGAAGATGAATCGGAAGCTGAGTCATGCATAGGGCGTGGCGACCGCCTTACAAAGAACGATGGACGAGGGATTCCAGTTGTTACCACTTCTGATAATGAAAATCTGTCTGTAGGCATCTTCAATTCGGACATTTTTGCACGGACGGCGTCAAATATAGGGTCAAACGACTCTGAACTACCTACCACCGATGTATCTGCTGGTAACAGGGGTATTACAGGTGTTGAGTCTGATTGCATGATCGATACAGCGTCTGCCGGGATACCGAGTGCACTTAGTTTATCTCGAAAATTCCTCGAGACAGGTGGATCTGTTTCAGACAACTTTGTCGTTGGTGTTGCTCCTTCCGGGTGAGAAATCCCAGTTAATCGGAACGATGAGTCCGATACCCATATGTTTTCGGACGTGACACCTATCGTGGCGTATTTCGCCCGCATGCGACGTAGCCAAGGTCGATCGGCCGGTGTCAGGCCTGCTAAGGCAAGCACTTCTGCTGAAACATCGATGTTGGATAGATTGATTTCCAATGGTGGATCTTCGTCAGGTGCATTGTGGGAGGCATATGTCGTGGATGGTTTAGTCGCAGAAGCACTTGCTGAAGGGGGACCTCGTCTAGAAATAAATCCTTCAGAATTCCCCCATGATGAAGCCGCCGCCTGAGGGTCAGCGGTAGCGGGGCCTGCCGTACGGGCAGATGCGCGAGAAAGACCTGCTGCAGAAACTGCAGCATCGAGATTGGCGATAGAGGGACGTGCCCGGGAAGAACCTGCTGCAGAGGGACCTGCAGATGGAGGGGCGAGTTGTCGATACCAATCGGAATACCATTTTATCAGGACCTTATAGGGAATGTTGCTGGACTCGCGTAATTGAGTTAGGATATTCATGATGAAAGACCTATTTTCGTGGTGACATTGCCGGATGAGCTTAAAAAAGGGATGCGAGGCGTGAATCTTTTCCAAGAGGACATCCTTGGAGAGCACAAGATCGGTATCATCGAGCAACTGCCCCCTGTCTATCCTCGGTGGAATTTCACGGTCGAGGGAATCGTCCAAATCCCGGGTGAGGACCGAGTAAACTGTATACCCCCGATGTCCATACATAGGCATCACCGCGAACATCCAAAAGTGTCGAATCGATCCCGATTTCAACCTGCGACATGTGATGTAGATATCAAACCGCCCGCAATGACTCTCGAACCCAATGGTGGCCATCTTGGTGAGAGAATGAGATTCCAAGTACAGATGGGGTTCTTTGTGCTTGTCCTTGAAAATGATGGAAGCGAGTCATTGAAGAATCATTTTGTTCACCTCGTAGTCTCTCTTCAGGTGTCTCTAGCCTTGTGGTGAGCTACTGACTTCCTCGTGAAACGTACCTAGTAGAGTAGTGTAACATATGCGAAACTACTACCTTTTCGCGAAGATCGTAAATCTGCTGAAATGTAGTGAAGAACTGACCAATTTCGGGGGGTGGAGGCATTAGCACCAACCATTCTTTCCACTACCTTTGTAAAAACCAAGATGATTGAATCTTGATGGTGGTGCATTGCGGGATTGCGTAATACACCAGATCCTCAAAGTGATTGATTGGTGGTCGGTGAAAGATCAAAACTCACCGCTGTCTGGAAAGCCAAAAGTCTTAGCAAGACATTTCTGAACATACTGAGTCGCAAGGTAATGAAACAGTCGCAGAGCAGTGGAGAAAGATACGGCGCGCAGTGGCAGTCCACAAGAACCAGGGGCTCGGATCTGAAACGCCATCACGCATCCCGTTTCAGGGACCTATTGCGTACATCATCACATAATCACGTAGGAAATTACGACGAGGAAGCCCAATTAGCCAGATAGGGAATGCAAGTGTACAAGCTCAACAAGTTGACTTGTCCGGAGATGCATCCCTGACCTTTCTTAACTGGCAACGGAGTATCAGCAGCTGACAAGTGAGTAATACTTAATGACAGCGAGATAGGAGAGTAACTACTCAGGCCTGAAATGACTTGCGTCTCAAGCATGGATTGTCTCGATTGTTGTTCCATGATCTTGCCCCCGTAGAGCTTGTTGACTGCAGACGTGATCAAAGAATCGACATGTTTTGTCACTGTCAGCTTTGCTCTGCTGATTACACATTCAAATGTGCATTCCATACTTCTCAAATATAAAGGTACTCCATAAGGTCTAGGTTCACCCTCACAATTCAAAGCACCCGCTGGCTTTCATGGACTGAAGTACTGGAGTAACCTTGATATCACCCACGTTAGATCGTTCTGAACGGAAGAGACATTGAACTCCTTCTGTTTTGAAATTTGGCTGTGTCGATGCTGGTACAGAGAACGGTCGACGGAATTGATAATTCCTAGCTCTCGTACTGTACTTCATGTGTCGTCCTGTGCTACGCATGTTGAGCTTCAAGGCTCATAAATATCCGCACCACCATTGCTAATCTCTTCCGTGGCGATGATGCATGTCTCATGAACAATTCTCATCCCAGCCATTTGGGTGTTGATATGCTTGTGGCGTTATTGTATTCTAAGGCAGAAATGTAGCGATAGCAGAGGTCGGTTTGTGAAACCTGATACTCTGCATCCGAGATTGTCGGATAATCTGATCGATCAAGGGGCACCGAGTTGGCGGAAGTGATTCGACATCCTTTTGCGAATATGGTGATAACCCTGGTACAGTCAATTAGCATATTCTACTGCTCGAGGCATGCTCTTCTTCGTGCGTTATTGTTTTGTGTTTTGGGACATTCATTGCCAGTGGCTCTTGAGGTTTTATCGTATGTATAGGTTCCAACGGCAATTGAGCGTTGCGCAGGCCTGAGTCGATGTTGAGGCTTCCCCAGCGTCCCGCTTCGGGATGGACTGTGTTCCCTGTCTGCATAATCAGACGAGGCTGATTTCTGAGAGCGCAGGGGGCTGTGCAAAAAGGCTGATGGTGTCCACTGCCCAGGCCATGCCTGCCTCGATCTTCAAGTTTGAGGTGCGGAATACAGAGTGCTAGTACTTATGTAGTACTGTACTCCGTACTCGTGCTACCTTGTAGACTGGCGTGTGGTCTTGGCATCAGTGCCAGTCGAACCGCAAGGATCTTCACTTCAAGTTGTTCTTTGACTTTGCCAGGCAGACGTCTCACCTCTCATCTCTCACCTCTTCCCCTGTAAGCTCGGTGTTTGAAAAAAAAAGACGTCAACACCGCAAACTATATAGATACGAATGTACTTCACCATGGCAGCTTACGCCTTGACATTTCTCTACTCCTCATCCTCCACATCCTCCACATCAGCTTCATCTGTCATCAAGTGAAGATTCAAGAGAGGCTCATCTGCCATTTCTATCTCTGGCACCAAAAGGTCTGTCTTTAGAAGCATCAAAATGCGCAAAGAATTAGAATACATTATCAACCATGTTTTTCTCCCCCCGAAACTTCCACAGAAAGACGATACCAACGTGACGAACGGTGTCTGTCTTGTAAAACAGCTCCTGGCAGCACTGAAATCATTTCGACATCACCTCCCGGAGCAGAGCCGTTCAGAATGGATGCCTTGCATAAAAATGGTTGGCAACTTGCTCGAGTTGCAGGACCATCTGGGAGGACTGGTGGCCACGAAATTGGAGACAAGGCTTGTTGAAATGTTCGATGGAGGTACGAATAATTCAGAGACCGGAGATGAGGATAGATAGTCTAACGATGTTCATTTAGATATTCTTGCTTGCCATATACGTGCCCAGAACGCAGGCCTCATCGTCCGGAGAACTTCGAAGCAATATTTATTTCAGTCATTCGAAGCCTCGCCGACTAACAAAGCCGTTATTAGGGCCAAGGGAAGACTGATACGATGCTTTCCCGGTCCAGCTTTCGCAATAGGCCAGGATCGAATGGCGGGTCCCAGCTTCGTCCAGCCGCTGACCCAGTTACTCACCAAACTTGATGCCGAAACACCCGAGGAAGCTTTACCAGTTGTAACCAAGGCTGGCTCAGAGGTTAATGAGACGAGAGACACAGTCCACCCGAAGTTTGTCACCGAGTTGCTCAGCGGCATTTTACGAGCCATAGGGGAGCCGGCGGATGTTACTCGCATCTACAAGCATACCCGAGAAGACGTCTTGTGGAATCATACATTAGACCCATGGCATCGTTCCCCTCTGTGGCTCTGCCTTCGTGTTGCATTGCAGACAAGTCTCATGCGCAAGGATGATCAAGATCAACATTTACGATACAAGTCCTTCATGCTCTTTTTCATGGCCTTTGTCTTGAAATGCGCTCTGAAGGCTTCTATTTCGAGTGATATGCTATTCATTATGACAGCCAAGATCAGTGGCCGCGCACTGAAGCTCGGTGCCATACGTGCAACTCCCTGGCTACAGTATGTGGAGACCGTGGTAAGTTCTGCCCAGCAAGAGTTGCTCCGCAGATGGAATTTGGTGGAGAAGCCACCGGGTGCTTCAAGAGCACAACGAGACTGGTTTCCATTGCAGCTGTCATTCGACCATGATACTGGTCTAACTCTCTCAAGCTTACGGCCCTACCTAGCAAAGGTACAGGCTCGGTCCGAGTCAAATCTGCCCCGCCTACCCTTGACGTTGGATTGTGAGCTCCGCATTTCGCAGCACAGCTCAAGGCTGCCTGACATGACCCTTTTGCAGGGCGCGAAGGCAGGCCAGATTTATCTCCAACTCGCGGATTTGGAACTCTGGGTGCAGGAATCCCTGAAAGGCTGGCTGCGAACAAACATGGAATGTGAACAAACTTGCTCGGCCCTCGCTGAGGTCATCAATGTGTATATCTCAGCAGCCTCCGCAGCTTATGCAGGCAACCCGGAAGACAATTCTGTGATGCTTCTGACAGTGATGGAACTTTGGGTTGCACTTGACCGGTCCGCTTTGCACCACTGTTCGCTATTACGAGATTACGACGTGGGTTTTCCGCCTTCGCTCTTTGAGTCTCTACTCTTACCCAAGAAGTCGCAAATGGAAAGACTGCTTCGTGTTGAGCAGTATCTAGCGAAGAGGAGAACAGACGCCAAGTCCATATGCCCACCCATTTTTCAGTCTGTTTGGACAAAGGACAGCTTTGCTGTACGTTACTATGAGCAGTCGCCAGATCATCAGAAATTGCACCAAGAAATCGAGGCGGAGGCGAGTACTCAGCGGTCAGAAACCACTCGCGAGCTTGCAAACAAACTCCAGCAATACGAGAAACTCATGGACGAGTCGAATGGACTGACTTGCGAGTACGTCGAGCGGTGGTGGTATGATCAACGAGTTTCTGATCACAGTCAGTCCTGTCAGAAATGTCACCTGAAATCACGCGCCAAGCACCTCAAAATTGACGTTCACGAATGGCCACTCCCTAACAGAGATCTGACAGCGAAGGCTGTGGTGTTTGAGCTCAATGTGCCGACTGTTGTGTTAAAATGGCGGCATACCACATACAGCATTCTCGTTGACGTCCTGTCCGTCGAGTCCCGAGCTCCACAACGAGACAAAGGCAGGCAGCAAGGCATATATACTCTCCAGGAGTACTTCGGTTTACAAAGTTACATCAAGTCCGGAGCGGCACGACCCCAGCTTGCATCGAAAGCAAAACCGTTTGTCATCTCTCATTATCGAACTCTGAAGATTTCTCAGGCCACTGCAAGCAAGGTATGCGTCAACAACGGCTTGGTCTATTCTATGTACGATTCGAAGTTATGCAGTTGGACTGAAGATGTTCTGAATCGATGCGATATACAAGGAAAATGCACTCTCCGACTTCCATCTGGGCCGTACATGGAATTACAGTATGCCGTTGACAGCACAACCCACACCTCTAATGAGGTGATCGCAAGTCAAGCTAATTACTCTAACGCGCTGACCTTGCATGAATTGTATGCATTTGGGACTTTACGTTCAGGTCACCGACTGCAATGGCGGAACATTGCTCGCGAACTTCGCTCTCGCATCCTTAACTTCAATTGCCACGAGACCAACATATTGTTTACCCAGGCCGCATGGCAGGCAGGCCCCGCAAGTGAAGGACAATTGTGTCGAGGATCTCACGTGGACCTTGAAGAGGGGAAGTATGGAGAATCCCTGCTGCTGGCCTTGAACGACACTCTCCGGGTAGTCGAAGGTAATTGGCAAGGCGCGGCCGCCGCACGTACTCTTATCACTCTTGCCACTCGACTGCTTTCGCTCTCACCCTACAAAAGCGTCCACCAGGATTGCCATAGGTTTCTGCGGAAAGCACGGGCGGTTTCATTGCGCTGGACTCGCGAGTTAGACCACAAGCTGCGGAAAGGGCAGGAAGATCAAGAAATGAAAACTCTGGGGGTACGGGCCCTTGAAATGGCTTTGACCTGTCATGGGACATTTGACGTCGACCCTCAACATCTTCCTGACCTACTCCAAGGGGAGGAAGATGTTGCAGTCCTCATTGAATGTGCAATCATCGTTCACGATAGGTGCCCAGCTGTGACAGATACTTTGCCTCCACCGACACGAATGCTTTTGAGACGGCACCAGAGACTCTTGTGTGGTCTCGAATCGCTGCTACGCAAGCGGATACTACTCGTCCCAAGTGGTCTTGACAGCACTATTAAACGGATCTGGGCGGGATATAGATCAGGATCGCCATGGAGGGCTTTGAAGACGCCAGAAGAGCGGTGGCTCGTGACAGAGATATACAACGAGGGTGCCACATCACCGAGATTAGTCCATTACAATCTTCTAAATGGGAGTCTACTCGTAGATGGATCACCGCTTACGAGACTGCCTCGCTCGTACGAAGCACATTCCACTTATCATCGACTTTTCGGCGATAAAGTCCTTGATGTTATCCCATCGAATGTTAGAGGAATGGCCTTTGAAACTCGGACGCAATTCTGCGACCATCAAGTGTACTTTGGTATGTATGACTCCGAGCTCATTGTACAGGCAGTCAAAGACCACCAGATCTACGAATTACTCCCATCCCACGCTCTAAGCGGCGATTTTCCACAGGATTTCATTGACAATTACGTCCATTGGCTAGAAATCAATACTGGCTCCATCGAATGGCGACCATTGCTCAATGCATGGACGTCTTGCACGTCCGATAACTGGAAAATGCCATCTTGCCACTCAGGGCGAAGCTTGTTAATCCGGGGTTCTTTGAGATTGATAGACTTTCATTCACCTACCGCAAACTCGGTTGCAAAGGTCTTGAGTCCGCTAGAAGATGCCACCAATATACATACAACATTTAACTGCAAGACAGAAATGTTGGAGGTGCACTTGCCACGAATGAATCTCGACTTTTTCCTGAGAAAAGGTGCCACGCAGCTTGAATCGAAGCAATTTCGTGCCATGACAGTGGATGCAAACCAATCATTCGGTACACTGACAGGATTAGCCAACAAACTCGTCCTTCGTGGAGACACTGACTCGTCACGCAGCGTCATTATTCCCTACGGCGCCGTACGGTTCAAAGCAGAAGGCGACCACCTACGTGTAGACATTGACACCAGCTCAGTGCCACAAGTTCCTTACCATCTCTACCACATTGATCGTCGCATCGGACAACTTGTTGATAACGGCAGGCTCAAGAGCAAGCTGTTCAAAGCTTATCTTCACGCTATAACATCTCACTGTTTGGCGGATGAGCTAACCGGTCGAACTGGCACCGAAGAGGCCCTCACCATACTAGGATCCGCCTCTGTTCGGTCCTTTGATGTGCTTGATGGCCAGGAAATTGACCTGCTCAAACTGATTGGAAAGCTTAGTCCTCGTCGTCATTACTACCCGCCGCACCTCAGGGTGATGCAGCAGGTAGAATGGACGGGCAGCCTGTCTCCGCTCTCCCAGCACAATTCTTTGTGCAAATCAGTGTTGTCAATTTTTGCACAAGCCCGAAGTCTTAGCCTTTTCCGTTACGACATCGCGCAAATACCAGATTCAAATATCTGTGGTGACCAAAACTTGCTCGAGAGGGCGTTGATTCGCGACTCCAAAAATCATGTGTATGGATTTGGCGCGGAGGATCACACAACAGAGCATGATGACCTTTATGATGGCCGGGACCGTGTCACGAATAGCGCACGGGAGGCTCAGGTCCATCACATTGCAAAGCTTGTGGACGACTGGTCTGCAGACCTAAGAGGCTGCTCACAATTACTTCAAGAGATCCATGCTTGGAGAGCTGAGCTCTGCGGTGAGAGGACAGAAGATTTCTATCCGCTTGGCTACGATACTAAATGGCTGGACCCACTTGCCACAATTCTTCCGAAAGACTGGTGCACCCTGCAGGTTACTTTATCGAGCAGCGTGCCTGAGAGAGACAAGTACAAAATCATGTTGTTATTGTCCACTCTGGCTTATTCTCCGCACGCGAAACAGGACCTTGTCCAAACACTTTTAGCTTTCGCCACAGTACCAGAACTTCGTGCAATACGACCGCCGGCCTATGCCCTCTTCCGTATATCTGAAGGATTCAGCCCAGACAAGAGGATATTGTCCGAAATCGCCAGAAAAAAGGCACATCGGTTTAGTGAACGCCCGGAATCCAAAAAGCCTGAATTGCATGATGAGACTTGGGCAGATGCTGAAGAACGTCGAAGAAATGAGTATGAAATGGCACTGGAGGAGCATACTACGACCTTTGTAGATGCTCTTGTTCATCAGTGGCCCCAACCACATATTCATAATCCAACCGGCATTCACCTGGATACCTACATTGCCGTGAGTGATGCCACAGATGCAGCACGGGTCTGTTTCGAAAGCTGGTATCGCAATGCCGAGTTCAAGGAGTACATCCGCCAAACGCAAGACTTACTGGATAATTTGAATGACGGGGACCAAGAACTGTCTGGTTATGCCTTCATGCAGCCACGGTATAGTTGTTTCTCGAAGCGGTGTCATGTTGACCTGGTCGAAATCATGGAAAGACCTGCTCCCAGTCTTTCTCCAGCTTGTCCTGTAAACTTTGACTCCTGGATATGTCAGCAAGACGAAGATAGGCAGGACCACGCGAAGCTCGAGTCACTTTTAGAGCGTCTTTGTGCGGAATCTTCAGGTCACTATGAGGAACTTTACGCCGGTGACTTGTTGAAGAGTTTTAATGCACTCCAGCACAGGACGGCGGAAAGACTTAGCGAGCCACCAAAAGCACTGAAGCCATTGCTCGAAAAACACCTGTCGCTGTGCAAGAATCGTGTTGGTGACTTGTTTCAAACGATCTGTCATTGCCTTCAAACAGAAAGTTCAGCGACACGTCGGCTTGCTTATGGAGCAAAAATGTGGCCCCGTTTGTCCACTACCTCGCTTCTTCAGAACCTGGCAGGTTGCAAAGTCGACTCGTTGCGCGACGACTGGAAGGATTGCTTGATTGAGTATGGACTTGCGATATCGACTTTGCAGCGGGCGGAGCGCCTCCTTGCCTGTGTTGGAAATGATGTGGAGCTGCTGAACGAACTCAGCAACCCTGGCCGTCAAGGTTGGGACCCAAAATCTCACCCAGACTGGCTGCTTCTCGAAATCGAAAACAATATTTTGATTCGACGGGTGCAAGCCCAAACTGCCAGCGAAATGATTTTACCCTCGTCTGGCGGTAACTCGGTTATGCAGCTGAACATGGGCGAAGGGAAGACGTCCGTCATTGTTCCGATTGTGGCTGCAGCTCTCGCAGATAGGAAGAAGCTTGTACGGGTTGTTGTCCTCAAACCACTGTCCACCGGTATGTTCCATGTGCTGTTGAGGACGCTGGGGGGGATGCTCGGAAGACGTATCTATCATATGCCGATCTCACGGTCGGTTCAGTTGAACATTCACCAGGCGAGGCAAATCAGTGACCTGTGCCGGGAATGCATGGACACTGGTGGGATACTTCTTGTTCAACCTGAGCACCTCCTCTCATTCGAACTCATGGGCCTCGAACGATGTCTCTCGGGTGACTTGGAGCTAGGCAACGTCCTGACCGAGACGCAGCGCTGGCTGGATTGCAATTCGCGTGATATCCTTGACGAGAGTGACGAGATTATGAGTGTGCGGTTTGAACTTATCTACACCATGGGCCTGCAACGTGCCAGCGAATTTAGCCCGGATCGATGGACCATTATTGAGCATATCTTAGGACTCGTCCCTCACTTTGCAGAGCTAGTCCACCGAGAGTTTCCGCAGGGCTTAGAGCTGCGACCTGGAGTATCGGGAAGTTTTCCTCGTGTACGAATCCTGCAGCATCTTGCCGCAGTCAAACTTCTGGACATGTTGGCAAGAAAGGTGTGCGAGGCAGGCGTGCCGGGAGTGCCTGTATGGAATCTTCCTCAGCACGTTCGAGATGTCTTATTCAGGTATCTGACAGACCCCAACATGAATGAGGCCGACATGGAGCCATTGCAGAATCATATTTCTACCGTGGAATCGATGAAGAGCAGCCTGCTTCTCTTAAGAGGACTGTTTGCTTGCGGGATCCTGGCGTTTACTTTACAACAGAAGCGATGGCGCGTGAATTACGGGCTTGATCTCTCACGGACTATGCTTGCTGTACCCTATCGAGCAAAGGACATTCCAGCAACGCGGGCTGATTTCAGTCACCCCGATGTCACCATCGTTCTCACTTGTTTGAGTTATTATTACGGTGGCCTTTCAGAGAAGCAGTTGCGGACCGCCTTCGACCAGCTGCTTTTGTGCGACCACGCGCAGGAGGAGTATGATCACTGGGTTCGAGATGCTCCAGAACTTCCACCAGCCTTTCGACAATTAACGAGCATCAACCTGAGCGATCATGAGCAGTGCTCCTCCACTATCTTTCCTTCTTTGCGACTTGCTAAGGGTGCAATCGACTTCTATATGGCGAGCATTGTATTCCCGACAGAAATGAAAGAGTTCCCCGACAAGCTTTCTTCGTCAGGTTGGGATATTGCACGAGAGAAGGTGCACCACACGACCGGCTTCAGTGGGACTAATGACAGCAGATATATTCTACCATTGTCCATAAGTCAGTGCGAGCTTCCAACGCAACTTCACACGAATGCCGCTGTGCTTGATTGCCTACTACGACCAGAGAACACTTTTACACCCTTCATGCAAACATCCTTTGACGCAGAATCCTTGCTAGACATGGTCGCTACGTCCGAGCCATCCGTGCGCGTCATTCTCGATGTTGGAGCCCAAGTCTTGGAGCTGAAGAACGAGGAAGTCGCACAAAGATGGCTGTTGCGCGTTTCTACGTCCGAGGCGCAAGCAGTCGTCTACTTTGATGATGGTAATGAGCTTTCGGTCTTGAGTCGCGACGGCACGACGGAGCCGTTGATGGTTTCCCCGTTTTTGAAGCAGATGGACCAGTGTCTAGTATACCTGGACGAGGCTCATACACGAGGGACAGACTTGAAACTACCAACGAATTATCGAGCGGCTGTGACATTAGGGCCTGACCTACCAAAGGACCGACTTATCCAAGGTAAGATATATTCCAATGAAGTCTGTTGTCCGCTGCTAATCTAGACAGCGTGTATGCGAATGAGGAAGCTTGGAAAGGGCCAATCGGTCATGTTTTGTGCACCAATGGAGGTTGAACACAAAATTCTTGAACGCAGTAACAAAACGTCGGCCAATACCATTGAGGTAGCCGACGTGTTACTTTGGAGCATTCGGGAAACTTACATCAACACCAAAAAATGCATACCACTATGGGCCACACAAGGCATGCGATATCAGCATCGTCATGCCGCAATGTCGGAGTGCCCAGAAATTGAACGTGGAGGCGCGATTTTGAACATGGCAGAGTCTCTGCTCGAGGCTGAAGCGCAAACTCTCCAGGATCGTTATGGACTCAGAGCTCGACATTCCGAAGACCTGACCTTGTTACACAACATGAAGCATCTAACACTTTCCGCACGTGCGGGACCAATAGAGGCTATTCGGACCATATGTCGAGACTTCGAGCTGACGTCTTTTGGAAACGCGGCGCTTCAGGAGGAACAGGAGCGCGAATTGTCCCCAGAGAATGAGCAAGAGCGACAGGTTGAGCGTCCGCCCTACCAAGAACCGCAGCAGCACAGCGTGCATAGAGATGTGAAGCGATTCATTCAGGAGGGAATACTTGACCGAGACTCAGATGTCTTTCAACCTGCTCTTGGTATTTTTCTCAACACAAGCGCTGCGCGATTTTTTGAACAAAACGCATGGCCAAAGCAATTGCTTGTAACTGCCGACTTTGCGCGGACGATACGTTGTTCCTCAGATCATCAGCTCTTGGACTTGTTTCTCAGGCCTGTCCACTGGATTGCCAGCAAAAAGACACCCCACTCGACCGATCTAGTAGTGCTGAGTCCATACGAAGCTCAAGAGCTGTTGCCATCTATACGTCAATGCCGCCATGTCACCTTACACGTCTATTCACCCCGTGTTAACATGTCCACGCCGGCGCTAGATGATCTTTCATTCTGCTCCATCCCTGCCATGCCCCAATCCTGGTCCCGCCTGGCTCCTATCATCATGCAGCTCAATCTGTTTGCGGGTCAGCTCTATCTGGGAAGCTATGAGGAATATCTCTCGGTTTGCCGGTTCCTGGGACTATCTTTCCGTCCGCCGTCCGACGAGCAGATCGAAGTCGCCAGCGACGCTTTCGTCAGTCCAGCAAGCAGATGGCGGTTTGATGCCCTCATGCAGAAAGAGTGTTCGTTCACCACGAGCCCGGTTGAGTTCGTAAACAGGGTCATGGCGTTGAGGAGGAAGGGACAGGGTTTTCAGCGGTCTCATTTCGGTAGGATTCTCAATGGAGAGTTGCTGGACAGGGGTCGGTTCGGAGATTAGAAGACAGTTTAGGTCAGCTATCTTGCTCCAACCAGAGTCATACAGAATGGAGCTGTTCAACAGAATTGTCTTTCTTCCAGCCCCAGCAGCCGGGTCCTTCTCACCCCCTTCGCAGCCTTTCCGTAACCGTGCCCTGTGATTTGTGTTAGATGTGTCTGCAGTTCAGGAGAGAGGGCAAGGAGCGTCAGAGACAAGTCCAAGTTGGGTCCAAGAACCTTGTTCTCGAGCCTCCGGCCAGCCGTGTAGGCATGCACTTCACTTCGCAAGTTCAGCACAGATTGCTGCACTCTCTTTGACAAATTTTTTTATCCAACCTGGATATCCTCTAGTTATTTATCATATTGGCGCTCCCAACAATCGAATAGTCTGTCATACGTTCGTGCTTGTGCTTGTGCTTATGCTCTGCTCGTATGGGTCTATGCAAACGTCAGAAGAGCAGCGCTCAAAGTTTCCGGTTGTACAGATCAGTCTGAAAGTAGTTGAGAAACTATTGATTGTGTAGTACTTGGGAAGGATACGATATAGTCAGTCTTAGCAATCTCTAGGCGCTAATATGTAGTAGCTATACCTCTAACTCAATCAGGCTAGAAATTGGCGTCCCTCTACTATTAGTAGTAGTAGTCACACACCGAAATCGAGAAAAAGCTCAATACTGTTACTACCGTAGATAGGAATATCTTAACGGGGGCCCAGAAGACAAAACATCCAACCTGAATCTTCGACATTTCTTGAAATATTGAACAATTTTGCTGTGCGGATAGGTTTTGACAATACTTAATGTTTTTCAGGAAAATTTGCGGCCTAGAAGCGTACGATTATGATGCTCATCTCGATCAGTTCATTC